GACATATTTACCGACGGCCCCCCCGAAATCTCGAAATATCCTAAAATCAGTATCGGAAGGAATGGCGCCACTTTGGAAAAATTCCTCACCAGCAACCTGTCCGTTTGGGCGCGGTACCTTTTTATAATAATCTATTAGCCATGGTGATTTCGGACCGGATTGAAACAAAATTTCTTTGCCACCAGCACCTGCCGCTTCCAAGTTGATCACAACTCGAACTTCTTTCGCCCATTTATGTTGCGTTATAAAACCATGGGATGCTTGTAGCCCTGTTTCTTCCGCGCCATTGAAAAGGAAAATGATATTGTGTTGTAAATTGTTAACCGTTTGAGTATGTTTCTGGAGCACTTCTAACATGATTGCACAATTAATTCCATCGTCACTTCCTCCTAAAATTTAAATTAAACTGTACCTACTGTACTTATTTGAATGAAACATTTTCATAATAAGTAATGCAGTTTTTCATAGCAATTTTAGTTGTGCATGTAGCATTTTCTCACTTATAATTGCACAAGAGGTTTGTATTTTACCGAGTAAATTTGGGTTGTTAAGGTAATGAAAATCTGTTGCCTAGCAATTAGACGAGAAAAACTGTCAACTATAACTCTCGCCAGGAAAGATTGCCGGTCACAGAACACTTGATCCCGATCTACAATCTCTGTTTTTCGTAAGGTGCTAGCGACTTCCGGGATAGTATCGTGTTGAACGAAAAGACTTTTTGTTCAACATTAGCATCTTAATAAAAACAAAGATTGTAAATCGACACAAGGTGTGCTGTGACCGGCAATCTTTCCTGGCGAGAGTTATAATAAAAATGGGACACCAAAGGTGGAGCATTTTTAGGTTGACAGTTTTTCGAGTTCAATTGCTAAAAGGAAACAAATTTGAATTGCAACAACCCAAATTTACTCGGTTTAAATACAAACCTCGAGTGTAATTCGGCAGGACAATTTAACGAACAAGAAATTCACCAAACTAGTCAATTATTGACAGACGTCAAACTAGTCATATGGGAAATGATAATGTGATAATTGATTCGAAAATGAATAAGTGAAAAAACCACTATAATAGTGCATTTGTCGCTGGAAAAGTAGCAGGTAACTTTTGCCGCTGTCAAAGTGACAATTGCACTGCGGCTTATGCGATTTTTTATACATGAGTTGAATTGTCATTAGAAAACGTCCTGCTCTCAATAAAACTACAGCAAATTGCCTACCTGGACTGGTTGAAACAGAATCAAAATGTGCGTTTACAAGAAGACTATTGTTCGTAGCATGTCTTGCATGTAATTTTACAACAACATTTTGCACATTTGAGTAGGCGTTGATAACTCCATAAGGCATAAACTCAATGAAGTAGGAACCTGATACAAGTTGCAAATCCAGCTCAATATTATGACTTGTATGTGCAAACTGCCAGATAGTTCTTATAGCTCCAGTCAAATATTCTACGGCTTGAATTTCATTTTCACGAGATCCTACTACTCGAGGACCTATGGATGTTAATGCTTTCAAATGCTGTTGGGCTCTTTCTGTTATGAAATCCGACGGGTAATATTTCTATAACATTGTCGGGTAAGAGAATAAAGTGCAAGTAATAAATCCTTCACGTACCTCATCTGCAACAGTTAATGGTTTTGGTAACCAACCGTCAATTAAGTAAACAACTCCGTATAAACAAAAGATGCTTAGAATGAATATAAATCCAATTATAGGATGTACACTATGGGCACCATTTTTCATTTTGTGAATCTTGTAATCTTGATGCATTGTTTAAGAATTGATATCTGACGGGACCTGTAATGAATTATAAAATAAATAATGATTGTAGCTATTTTGTATTGCTAATTACTGATGTGCAATATTTCACAAGTAAGGTACATATTGTATGCCGTGTGAAGTACCCAGGCCAGCCCCGAGGGACTGCGCAACTCGAGATTTAAAATTCAAAACTTTCCCTCCCAAACTAACTGACCCCCATGGCACGTGATCGTCTAGACAAAGGACCACTTACTACGTTGTATTTTTAAGAGTCGCAACAAGATATGTGTTGCTTGTCGAAGTGGGGATCAAGTAAAGAATACAAATAAAACAAGTACATGCTTTAAAAACGGAGAATTAATCCAAATAAGTCGCATTGCAAGATTAAATTTAGAAAATGGTATTTCACCGAGAACAAATAAAAAAAAAATAGGCTGGGAAAAAGAACTGACCAAGAAAAAACCCAGCCAACAAATTAATATTGAACTTTATAGCAAAATTAGTCGTCTGTAATGGCATGAATGCATATTATGATGGTTGTCAAGTAAATCGATACAATGTTGAATCACAGGCTCCGCTGGAATTCCTAAAGAATCAATATTTCACGTACATAACATAAAATCAATCATTAAAACAGTACAATGAATTCACATAATAAGTTTGGATATTGGGTGATCAGTCCAAATCCCACACCGAGTAGTCTTTAGTTGCTCTGGTTATGACATGTCAACATTGTATGAAATCGCTAGGAGTTGGCCTCTCAGAAGAGCATTTCACACAGGAAGGATACCCCAAGGGATACAAAAAAACAAAGGGCACAACGGGAACACGCCGTACGCTTTTAGCAGATCCCTGCGCAAATAGCAGAAGTATAACGATAGTATCACATTACAACAAACACAAAGAAACATGTCGTGGTAAACTTTAGTATCAAGTAATTAATTCACAATGCCAAGTGCAATATGTAACAATCAACCACCTAACATACGTCACTCGCCCCCAGATGAAGGCACCCTGTAAATACACAGTAACATATTCAGGTAAACAAAAGCTAAATGTGCTGCAATAAATTCAATTATAAATTAAAATGTAGTTCTGCATACTTGTATTGAATATAGCCCCTAAGGGAACATACAGTATCTAAATATAAATAAAAACACGTAAATCGGTCAGTAATTCATAGTAGAACCAGTATAATTAAAAGAGCAATTGGTATCTAGAATGTGTTATAAATGGCGATAATCATGCGGTACGGGAAACGGCAAATAATTGAACACGATCATATAATTATTAGAGGGATGCAATAGACGTAAAGATAAAAAACGAGTACATCACCTTTGTAATTGTCGAAGCTGCACGCAGAGTATTCGCAACGTAAAGATTTACTTCTGGTCTCAACAAAAGCACAAATACTTCTGTTTAAATTTCCCCTTTTGTAGGCAAATCCTACACGAACAAAAATGTTAACCGTCAAGGCAATCATGACCTTTACGTCGCGGCAGGGTCGGTTTCGGGAATATTTAAATCGAATTTTAGCGGGCTAATTCGGTTCCATCACAGCCGTATGTGAATTTCAATTTTCTTTAAACGTAAATGTGGTAGTTAATTTGAGATCATGGTATTTGAAGTCAATGTGATATTGTTTAAGAATTATTTGTTACTCAATTTTGTTTAAATAATCGCTTAGTATTTTGATTGTATCTTATGATTGTTCACTTAGAAAGATTAAGGACATTTGGAAATAATGTTTTGTTATAGTTATCTCATTAAAATCCGGTTGTTGCGATAAGAAATTTCTCTCTCTCACAAGGAACAATACACATGCTTCTCTCTCACGCGCTACTTAGTATTGCGACAACCGCACTGTTTCGTGTGATAGAGAAGGACGCAGGGTAACAGTTGATCGTGGTGTATGAATCGAAGTGAGAGAGACATTAATTTAAATTAAGGGTACTCTGGACTTAATTTCTTCAGGCAACCCATCTCCAATGTGTTTGTTTACATATTAAGATTGCTAAAAAATGCATTTCAGAATTATAATTACAATTGCAGATCTCTTCTCAAAAAATTTGAAAATGTTTAGTCCAAAGTGGCAAATGTTTCTCAGAATATTTAACTTTTTTGTTTTATTTTTAACATTTTTAAATACCACTAAAACTTAAAAACGTCATGTTATACAAGTACTCCATGTGTAACACAAATACCAGCATATAAAACACACAAAATGAAATTTTTTGTTGTTAAATAAATTCTAACCGGGACGATATACAAACTGGCATGGCATGGTCAACCAAACTGGTACTGGTAGGTCGAGTGGTAGGTATAGATTATACGAATAACACAAAGTAAAGATATACGCACCTGTGTTGTCAACTCCAGTCTTCAATAGTCCTGTGCGTTTCTTGTGATTAGATCAGTGATACTACTTCTGAGTCCGTATTTCGTTTCAACCAATACTAAAAGAAGTGTTTAATTAGCCACAAAAATTGTAGGTAATGTCATTGAATTTATAAACTATTCTATTATAAATTCAATGGTAATGTTAATTATTTACTTTACTGTACCAGTGTCCATCTCGCATTGTTTGTCCCCCCAAGTTGCATCGAACTATCCTCGGAACTATCTATTAGAAACTATCATATCTATTATGAAATGATTAGTAATGTAGATCTAGAGCTGTAAACCAAAAAGTTATACTTATAAACTGTTAAACAATTCTTATTGTTGTTCTCTCCTACCATAGAAAGAGAGAACGTTAAATATGCGCTAAACAAAATACAACATAACCTCAACACTTCAATGTTTACAATATTCGTACTTTCCAAAAGCCCATCAATTAATTAATTTCTACCATTACTTATAAAATGCCGGTAAGTAATAGGACATTAATGAAAATAGCTGCATTGGGTGGATTCGCAACAGCAGCAATGGGTTATGCTCTCCGTTCAAAAATAAATGAGAACATATCTCACACCGAGTATTTTAAAGAGGCAATGCAAATAACACACAATCATCCTGGCGTCGTCTACTTGTTAGGGAAACCCCTGAAAGTGGGTAAAATTGATGTGACTGACACTGAAAATAATTGGACAAAAACACTGTCTGCTCACTACGAAGTACCAGTCAAAGGAGCAAAACAGAAAGGAACGTTATACTTTTGGGCAGAGCGGGAAAGTGAGCTGGACAAGTGGAGTGTAAACCGAATCGAATTACAACTCGCTAATGATACAAGTAAAAGACTTTTAGTTAAAGGCGATCTATAATTAAATGACATTAGGTATTGTAAATAAATATACATATATATCTGTAAAAAAATTAAATAAACTACCAAAAATTATTGGGGAGAATACCTTGAGGCTCCTCAAATCGTCCTAGTTTAACATAATCTTGCAAAAGAAGCTCTAACCGACTAACTGGTCCACCTTTGTCGATCTTTTGGATCGACGGGAAATAGACACTACACACAAACTTCATTAACTTTCTAAAAGAAGTGCCGTACGCGATTCCCATGGTGGATCCTGCAGTCTCGAAGAATTCGAGCAATAAAGTTGCCGTAATGTCGGGTTTCGGTTCCAAATTTAATATCGCCGACAACCACCTCCAACCCTCCGATATTCCATGTAAATTTCGCTGTCCCTTTTTCGGTCTAGTAATTATAATAGCCGCGTACAAACGCATTATACCGGCCATACGTTTTAAAAACTTGTCTTGTTTCTCAATCACATTATTTTTGTATTGATATCCTAAAGTGACGTAATAATCTTTATCGTCTTGTCCGACTGTTTGTGGAGGATAGAACGGAACCAAATATGGACACTGCTTATGGAAGTGTGCCAAAAGTAATTTTCCAAAGTTTTCGTTAGCATACCACAGAGCTGTTATGGTTGCACCGTAAGCGAAAGCAGCATCGGGCTTGCTAGATATCATAACATCCCCTTGCAAAACGAATTTATTTGCAAGTAGGTTTGTGCAATACGCAATGCCTTGAGGATGTTGCGTTGCGGTTATATACGTATCACCAACTTCCACCCTTTTTCCTTCTAACAAATGTGATAACTTCAAATACTTATCGAGCAAATGTTGAGAAGTAACGGCGGAGATTGCATTTACAGGTATATTAACGGCATTTTTACAATCTCTTTTGAAGTTTTTTAATCGCTCATCTTTTACAAGACCGTCATACGAGCTTGTAAAAGTAACTAAAAATTTTTGCAAATTCATATAGGTGTGCAAAGAATTTTTACTTATAATTTTATCCATTTCGGTTGGTTTAATATTTGTGTGTAAAACTTCAGTCCGACTTTGTGTATCAATAACTTTGGATTTTTGCTCCTCTTTCTTCCGTGTTTCTTTCGCCTGCTGTACTTCGGAAATTTTTCGTTTTAAATCTTCTAAGACAGCTGCAATGGTCAAATTTAATTACACTGATAAAAGAAACTTTACCCACCTTTTAAGCGTTGCACTAACTGCCCGGAAGTTACACTCTCGCGTTCACTAACTTTGTAAGTTTTACACTGTTTAATAATTTCTTCCATGGCATCAGGTAACAAATTTAACTGTTTAGTAATGTCGCCCAACACAATCTTCAGCTCGTGAGGATATTTACACTGTTGAAAAGTTTCGTTAATCTCTTGGTAAACTTGACGAAACTCGATTTGATCAGTTTTGATTTTGTCTATGATTGCTTTAACCTTCTTATGCCTTTCATACTCCTTTACTTCCTTATCTAATTTCTTTTTACGTTCGTTCATCTCCTCATAATATCGCAACAGGTGTTGTTGTTGTAACGAAACGCTATCCTTATCATGCTGTTCCAGCTTTTGTATGATACGTAATTCCTGTTGATGTCTCTCATTAAGAATAATTTTTTGTTTTTCTTGTAGAATCTTGTACGTGTCTAGCTGGTTCCGCTTTGAAAATTCGGCCATGGAGTTTATACGAGCTTTAACAGATTCTTGAACTTCTCTCTGCCGATTTTTTTCGTATTCTTGTCGTATTGACTTGAGTACTGTTGACAAATTTGGTTTTTGATCCATTAGAGGAATGATGGTTTGTGTGCAGGCATCTTTAAACGTCCTGCAGTCCTCAAGATTATCAGTTATATTTATTGAAGGTCCTATTGTTGTGTTGGTGACATAACAATTAATTACCCGCGACTTTGTTAATGCCGATGTTTTAAATAAATTTATTTCCATCTTTTGTAAACGTAATTTTATATATATTGTAATGTAAGGTTATGTCAAAGACAAACCAGCTGTAAAGTTGTTTGTAGATGTTTTGCGCAACGTTGCCAAAACAACTTTCAGCTACGTTCGCACTCATAACAAATTATTGTACAATTGTCAAACAAATTGCCTATATACAAAAAATAGTAGGTAAGATTTTACTTGTGCCCACCATTTTTCAGAACCCACGAGCCGCTAATGCAACTTGGATGATAGACAGGACTAAACAAGCTTTTTAGCCAATAATCCCGTGCCACTGCGAAGCGATGGTTTTAAAAATGAAATTAAAAATGGTGTATCTTTTAATTTAAGTATAATATAACTACCAAATGTCACTTGCTTTTAAAAATGGCATCATAGAGAGTGTAAGAAGATTAAAAAAATAACGAAATTAAAGAAGCGGCATGGAGAAATATCGTCACATGCATCCGGATCGTCTGCAGATGAGTTAGCTATCGGTGGAATCTAGCAACAAAATGATGAAAAACGTCGTTAACAGTAGCCATTTTGAAATTATTTGATAGCTAAGCAAAACTATCCCACACACTAAGCCCGCAGTCCATAGCACTCACTTATAATATAATATACCGTGTGTCCCAATGAGAACGCACCATACAGGGAAACAGCGTTAATATATTTTTTCGCGAAGAATCAAGGAGCCCTTTGATATATGTATTGGATGAAGTTAGCGTTCAACGTACGTTCGCGAAAAAATACATTACCGTTTCCCTATGAGGTGTTCCACCGTTTTAATGGTGCGATAATTATCTACTTTAAAATCTAAATTTCTATTATAAATATAAACTAAATATATTATAGGTAGTCATAAATTATTCTAATCTAAGCTATACAAATTATATTTACTAATTGTTGGTTTTTCATTGCTATTGTGTAATTTATTATTGTATTATTTATATCATTGTTATTATGTAATTTATTATTGTATTATTTATTAATATTTATATCTTGTTATACTTATTAAAATACTTTTGTTAATTGTTAAAAATGCATGTATAAATTGGCTTGGCCGTCAATAAATATTATTATTATTATTAATTATTAAGCTCATTATCACCATAGACATCTCCTCTCTTTTTCACAATATTGTCTCCCTGTCTGAATCAAAACTTTGAGAAAGAAAGAGTGAGGAGTGACAATAAGGATCGTAAAGTGAAGCCCAAATTAGTTTGTTATTTCACCCAAAAGTAACCTATAATATAATATAACTGTATATAACCTGTGAAACGATATCCCTTCGTGTGTTTTATGGCTATCCCTTCCGTGCACTACAATGTACCATTGTCTAATAATGTTTTTAATCGCACTCTTCGAGACTTAATGATCGCATAAACACGAAAATGCAAAAACAAACTAGCTCCGCCACATGTTTCTTCGACGCGCAGCATTGCCCTTGAAAGGATATTATCAGTCCCCTTTCTTTCATAGTCTTTAAGGTCGAGAAGCTCTTTGTTTTTGATTATACAGATTAACAGTCTTGATCAAACTTTTTAATCACCTTGTAGTCAAATTAATTATGGACCTGGCAACACTGCGCCTAGTTGAATTTCCCATAACTCCTTTTATTTTTCCGGTTCGGCGTTTCGAAAGCAACGGTAAGTTTTTTATTAATTTTTCTTTATTTATTTATTAACGGTTGTAGTAATAAAACGAAAACGAGAATAAATTATGTTCTCGTATTGAAAATCAATAGCGTTAAACTATAGTGGATTACTACAGGTTCAATTTTACGTATAACGTACATCATAGCAACTGGAAGCCATTTTGTTGTTATAATTTCAAACTTTTCTCCCACCTTGCTAAGCTAAATCAAATGTTTAAAATCCCTTTTATAAATCGCATATTGGAATAGTTTATTTAAGATTACTCGCATGTATACCGTCAGATTACTGCACCGGTAACCCTATTTCAAACCGGGGATCTGTAGCGCAACTGTGTGGAAATGCATCCACATTACCCTTTCAAACATCATTATGTATAAGTATTCACTGTGAATCTGAAAATTCGTCTTCTCATTTGTTGACGAAGTCACAGTCGCACAATCTTTTTGGGCGCATTTCCATTTGTCAATCTCTTCGTGGGAGAGACGTTTTTTCAATTGTAATCGTGGTAAAATGTGATGCAAAACAGTAGAAGTTGTGTGTGATGACATCAACCAAGCTCCTAATGTGGAGCGGATGTGCGATCATTCAACGCTACATAAGACTTACACAGCAAGGCATCACATCTTTCTTTACTATATAAATAATAAATAGGTACTATTGTGGATAAGGATTCTGTAATGTTAATAATAAACAAAAGTAAAAAGAATCATCCAGAAATTCCAATTTTTGTAACCATGGCGAAAACAAACTCTTCAATGAGGAATAAGAATAGGTAGTTTTAAATATAATTTTAATATGTATTCCACACAGACAACTGCGTAAATTGTTTAATATGTAATACAAGTTACTCCAATTATTAAAATAGATTTGTATCTTTTAAAAACTAAAACATATATCACGTAATGGTTAATTTTTAAACAAGAAAGTTGTTGCGAAAAGAATCTAACCTAAATTTTGGATATTGGTCCATTGTCTCGAAATACTAAAAAAACCGTAACCATTTTTATACCTCTGCTTTTGTTTGCATCCAATTAACCGTCAAATAAAAATATATACATACATAAGGAGTCAAAGATTCGTGCAAGATTTAAAAGTAACACGCGAACTTTTCATTAACCATTTTCAATTAAGCAACAACTTATGAAAAAAGTCAATAGTTTGTCTTAACTACATAAGCGCATCTTCTTTTTTTTCTTAAATACAAGTGTGAACTTCTTGAACAGCATAACAAGTCTAAAAAACACGTACATATTTACAAATATTTCTTAGATAGGTACAATATTATTAGTCACTCTATAAAGTGCGATAAAAATTTTCTTAAATGGTTAAAGAATGTCGAAAAGGCAAAAATACTTCTAAGTAAAATGGACAGAATAAATAACAACACTTTTAGAGTTGAAAATAATAAAATCGCCCGCGTTTAATCGACACCCGCGAAACCTTGCGATCCTTCTATTGCTTGGATTAACTTCTCGCGTAAACGCTGGTAGCTGTCGTATGGGGGTAAATCTAGCCGATTGAAACTGAAATTTTATAATTAACGACATTTCGCAATTGCGACTTGTTAGAGGCACATGATGTAAATATACTACAAATAGCTCATTTCATGTTGTAAATTGGTTAGTCTGTGGTATGAAGTCAGCTACAAACCCGCTTATAACAATACTACATGTAAGAGCAATTTATCAAAGTTAACAAAAAGTAGTCCACTCAAAATATCATGAGAGGTAGACATTAAAAAATTGCGACGATCTTGACAAATGTAAAACTGAAGGATGTACTGATATAAATGCCTGAAAATGGGGGCACTTTTTTACTGACACCACCTGAACAGGGTTACGAAACCAACAACAACAAAATTTGGTATTTGAGAGATGAAAATAAGGAATTCTTTTGGTAAATACACCTTGTTATGCATGCGGGCCGAGTTTCGTACAATATGAAAACATCATGTTTTATTAGGGTTCGGTAAGGTAGGTTTATTTACACCACGAGAGCGAGAAGGCACATGACCAAGGACATCGTGCGTGATTTCCAAGGAATTCAGGAGTGCAATTCCAATTATTTAACAAACACCACCCTCAGTTTTTTTACTCTCTCAGGATACATGTACTTAACAATACTTTTGAACAGTTTTTCACACGACTTTTCAAAGAAAGTTACTAATTTTATTAAACCCCCCAAAAATAATCAAACATATTCAAGCTTTTTTTTTTAAAAAAAAAAGTTACGCATGCGCAATCCGAATCTTTTTAAAGTATGTTCATTAAATGTTTTTGTATTTAAGGCTGCGGTACCCTTGGCGGTACGAATTCTAAATGCTTTTTTTTATTATAAATTGCACTAAATGAAAACGTTGATAGTACGCTTAAAAAATATTTTAAAAAACCGCGAAAAGAACATTTATTGATGAAAAATGAATGCAAATGCATGATGTACACTTTGAACCGGCAATAAGAATTGCACAGCAGACTCAAGTTGAATTGCCATCCTTTTCTAACAAGCTGCAGTATGGGTCAGACTGTAAGAGACAAAGTGAACAGTAAGTGATTTATTACAATATACATCGATGAGTCATACCCAAGTATAGACGGCGCAGACAATACAAATGTTAGGGTTGAGTGAAACTAAGAAAAATGGTAAAAGAAGCATGTACTTATCAAACACATACTATACTACTCGAGAGTAGGAATAAGTAACACAGGAAATGAACAAAAGAATTTTAAGGCAATCAACGCGAGCATAATAGCTATTATAAAAATTATTTATTATTAAAAAATAATTAGTAAAACATTATTTATTATTAGAAAATAATTAGTAAAAAATTATTTATTATTAGAAAATAATTAGTAAAAAATTATTTATTATTAAAAAATAATTAATAAAAAATTATATGTTATTAAAAAAATAGTATAAAAATAGAAGAAACAATTAACATCGTACAAATATATGGGCCAGTCGAAGGAACAGCAGAGGAAGAAATGTCAGAGTTCTACACAAATCTACAACAATGGGGAAGATCCACTAAATCAGTGGTTCCCAAAGTTGACCGGGATTTGAGAAGAAGAAGAAGTATTTTTCGTACGATTTTTTCATTGTGCTGGCAGGGATTAGTTGCCTACAATTTTTTTTCAATTTTTAAAAATCTAAGTTTTGTTTCATGTCGTTATTTTCATCTTCAAAGACACTTAGATCTAAATTTTGGAATTATATTTCGCACCCTTATTTAGGTGTGCGCCATCTGGGTGTAGACTAAAAAAAAATTATAATAGCAACAAGTTTTACATTTCTCAATCTCCGTAAGACGGCCCTAGGTCATGAACTACCTGTAGCATATTTACATCTGCGCTGAAAACGTACCAAGTATGTGCTCGTGGATAGTTATCAGGCGAACCCCATTTCTCGATTGTAAACAGCTGGGGACCGTTACTACCATATAATTCTTTAAAACCGTTCATCGGTACACGAGATGTGCCCGTAACAAATTGCAATAAGCGCGATCGCATTTCGTTTGAGAATGAAAGGACAACTCTCCAAAACCACTGTATTACGATATGATTGCCATGATAGTCCCCCTTGTAAAGGGTGTTCTGTTTCCAATCTTTCACGTCTACATTTTGTATTCCGCACATTAACAGTTCCAATTCATTTTCGTCAAAAATTTTTATAACGTTCAACGGCACTAAATCACTAAAGCCCTCTAGGAAACCGTTCATTTGATCTTGCACCCTTTCAACGAACCTCCACTTAATCACACAACTAAAAATTAACCGATTACATAATTATCGTATTAACAACTCAAATTACTTAATATATTCGTCTTTGTTATGGTTGTCAACTGGAATGTTTACACCGTCCGGTTTTAATTCGTACTGCATCGTATGACCGAATGAATCTTCGTCGACAGCAAAAGTCAAATCTAGGCCTTGCGGATCATTCTCCTTAATCCACAGTAGTGATTTGTAATATTCGCTATCAACCGCTTCCATGTCTTTTAAATCAATCGGTTTACCTAACATCATTTTATAAAACGGACGAATGAAGAAAGCTACAACCGAAACAATCACTTTGCGGCGTTTTTAAACACAATTTACCATCAAGCAATTTTCCATGATAGACTGCCATGCCTGCAATGCGTCCAATAAACTTAAAATAATTCAAGTGTTCTTCGTTGCACATGCCAGAAAACGGATTGATTTGTAACGTGTAGTTGTCCCTAAAACGAGCGAGTACACTACGGTTTGTAACAAGTACAACTTACATCGCGGAATATTCGAAAAGTCCGTAGTATGGATTAAACATTTCCTTGGAAAGTAGATAAAACCATTCTCGCGCCAGTCCGCCGTAGTCCAAACCGACCTCGCTCTCAAACTCTATCCATAACTTCGTCTTTAACAAATCTACTCTAGGCACTGTCGTTATTGCGCGGTAGGAGTCCTCCAATATTGATTTTCTTCTTATTTTTATTTCGAATTTGTTGGGCACGTTTGTCTAAAACATAAGAAAGCAGAGTCTTACTTTTCAAGAGTTGGAAGAACATTCAAAAACAAGTTAAGAAAATTCCCTAACAAACAAGTGGTAAGTACATATGATTTTCAAGTGCGTCAGAAAAAGATACATGAGCAAGTTTGCTACCCGAATAATTATTTATTGCACAAAGCTTATAAAGGGATGTTTTACCAGATGGTTAGTTCTTCTTTATCGTTGTGAATAATACAAAACTTTATTTATGCAGAAGCCATATAAATTATTATAAAACTTTTCAAAAATTCTGAAGTTAATTTAGATCTCAATAATAGTAAGCTTATAGCTTCTCCCATCGTTTCCAAGGGAACAATATGGTTTTCGATCCTGAACTTCATTCTATTTCGTGCTCTGTGTCCCATTTTTTAAAAGAATGACAGATGTCATTAGAATGCACAATCATCTGTTCCACTTTATCTAGCCTTGCTCTGTTCATGTGCACGATCACTATGTTTAGCAACGTCCGATCACTTTGTAAATTAGTAGACATGTTCTTAAGGATATAAGCAAGGTCGCTATTGTTTTTCAGCTACGTAGACCAACAAACCTAAAAGTTACAGCCCAAAAACGATCTCGAGGATCGTTCAATATGCAGTTGTATCGTACTTGTTTGTGCACTGCATTATTTTAAAAAACAAAAGTTTCATCGATTTTCGGAAATTAGATTTGACCAATTTTTCAAATTTTGCCAAATAAAAGAGATATTGAGGTGACCCTATTATCTCCAACGCACTGTATACGCCTCATTATTTTCTATTGTAGAGAAATAAATTTTGTTGAAACTTTGTGGTTTCCATGAGGGAACGATTCATCTTATTTCGATTGTACTTCGTGTCAAAAACCGCTAAAGTTGAGTAAATTTTATTCACAAAAATCAATGTGAAGAGAAGCTTCTTTCTATTTCTACCTACCGGTTTTTTGAGTTGCGTTTTCATAAATTCATATTTCCTCTTGTAGTCTCTCGAATACGGCACCGCGGGTCCAGCAATCTGGGGATTCGATAGTCGAGGATCCTCCCATTGTGTAGTCCGTGTGTCTAGTTAAACATGCGCTGCGTTTATTCCAACTACAAAAAGTGAGACTGTACGCACTGTGATCGATGAAGAATATACGTCCGTCGGAATGTACCCGTTCTTCCCATCCTTCGGGCAAAGCTCCCAAATCGTCATCGAGCTTTCTACTAGGAACCGCGGGGGCGCTAGGTCGCCCGGTTCTCGGATCTATCCAAGAAGTTGTCCGTTCGTTGTGATCAATAAAAAACCATCGCCCGTTGGGCGCCAACTGCATCGACCAACCTGACGGTAGACCTTCCTGCGCATTGCTTTGGCTAACGCTATTGGTGGATGTTACAGAATTTCTACGAGAATCAGTTGTTGAGCTGTTATCTGTCAAGTCTTCGTTCTAAAATACATATTAAAACTATGCACTACAATGAAGCGCACACATAGCGTAATGAATGAAACACAAGAAAACAAAAGAAAAACTACCCAATAAGCGCACACGTTCACAAAAATACCAACCTCATTTCTTCTTAAAACGATAAGTAATTCGGGATTGGAATTGTTTGGCCCACCTACAGGTGAACCCAGCACCCCCTGCAACCGATGCTGGCATTCTTCACATTCATCTTCGGAATCGTGAGACCCGATCGAAGCTCTGTGACTACTAGCATTGCTCTCAATCGATGCATTGTAGTCAGAGTCGTATCGTTCAGAATTGGCATCAGAGAGTAAACTTTGGCGATTAGAAATCACATTTAAATTGTTTTGAGTGGATTCTAATTGCTGATGTCCGTCACTATCGCCTTGTTGATCCAATTCAAATCCGTCAGATCTTACACTTTCACCCTGCCCAGCATGCAAATACATCGACATGCAATGCTTATGATGTTAACTTAGAGTTAGTGTGTGAGCAAAATTTTTATAGTCACACAATGAAATTAATGATTCATGCCAAAAGTCTCACAAGTACCAATTTCACCAGTAGGTATAAGTTAGAGGTTACAAGAAACACAAAATTTATACATACCGGCCCGGCACTCGCTAAAGAGTCACGTCTACTATTTGTTTCGTCATCTGCACTGATGTGAAATCTACGTTCGAAGTCGGCAGCTTGGTCTAAAACTCGTTGTTCTTGCACTTCAACACTGTTAGATGTGTTACTGAAATTACATGATTGAATTTACTACCCTTCAACCTTCTGTATTGTTGGGAGGCTTTTAGATTCAACAAATTAATACTTGTTTTGTTTTGAAATTTATAAAAAATCTATTGGACCGAAATAAATACAAATGTTTCGTCATGTAACATTGGCCTGTTATTGGATTGCTTCCTTGCATTTTCCAAAAATCATTTTCGGAATGCCCCAAAAATCACGAAAAAATTTTGAAATGACAACAGTACCGGGTGACCCAATAAGACTGTTCCTCGGCCATATCTCGAGAGCCGTTCGTCGCATGACTTAGGGGTAAAAAAAATTATTGGGTAAATCGGTCAGGAAGAATCGTTGGAAAATTATTTCAAGTTCTAAAAATGATCACCAGAGGGCGTAACTGCCATTTTAAATTTTAAAATTGCATTTTCTTTAATTTTTTCACATTTTTTAAGAGAACCAGTTTATCTATCATTTTCGTAAAAACAAAAACTCAGTTATTTCAAAAACAAAGATGGTGTGGCGGTGTTGTTTTCGCAATAACCTACTTTAACCTCTTAACCGTTTGACCGATTTTAACAAATTTGGTATCGTTGAAAAGAGCTTTCCTTGGGCAATAAGAATCAACCAAATACAGTTAATTTAGTTGAATCCTTCTCCGCCAGGGGATCCTTATTGCCCAAGCAATGCTCGTTTTAACGATACCAAATTTGTTAAAATCGGTCACACCGTTAAGAAGTTAAAGCAGGTTATTGCAAAAACAATTGAACGCCCCACGCCATCTTTGATTTTGAAATAACTGAATTTTTGTTTTTAGGAAAATGATAGATAAACTGATTCAACTAAATTAACTGTATTTGGTTGATTCTTATTGCCCAAGGAAAGCTCTTTTCAACGATACCAAATTTGTTAAAATCGGTCAAACGGTTAAGAGGTTAAAGTAGGTTATTGCGAAAACAACACCGCCACACCATCTTTGTTTTTGAAATAACTGAATTTTTGTTTTTAGGAAAATGATAGATAAACTGGTTCTCTTTAAAAATGTGAAAAAAGAATGTTTAGTTTATTATGCGAAATTTAAAGAAAATGCAATTTTAAAATTTAAGATGGCAGTGATGCCCTCTGGTGGTCATTTTTAGAACTGGAAAATATTTTTCAGCGATTCTTCCTGACCGATTTACCCAATTGTTTTTACCCCTAAGTCATACGACGAACGGTTCCCGAGATATGGCCGAGGAACAGTCTTATTAGGTCATCTGGTACATTCAAAATATCTATGTCAGATTGTACCTATCAATTTGGAAGAATGATTATAATTGGAATATTGCGATTGAGATTTTGACAACAATCTTGCTCAAATGGTAGAAGAAAAAGTTCATTTTAAATTTCAAAAAGGTTAAGTTGCAAAACTCAAAGTTTTAAAAATTACGAATTTTTCATACATTCTCAAACCATTCAAGGTTTCTATTTGAAAGCTCGAAAATACCTATCCCTATTAATGAATCATATTGACAAATTCCCCATTTAATAGTGAGTTTTTGAATATTCCATGTGGAAAGTGGAAACTCCTAATTACTAGTTTTGACCTCCAAAGAGGCAGGTGATTATTTTGGAATAAACAATCCTTACTTTCGGAACAATAACATGGTTTTAAACCAGTGAGCGCTAATATAGCATTCAATCAAAATGGCTCCTCAGCAACCACTGACGATAACCTTGGCAACACTATAAGATACAAATTCCATACCAAAATTACAAATTTATCAAATTTTTATGTCTACAGTTCCATAATAGTACTGCACAATGCGAAATTTTCCGTCTGTATGAATAATTTCAATGCTTGTACCTTTATTTACATAAATTAGATTTATATTTGTTGGTTGATTTTATAATTTCATTGTTCTCGAGTCCCTTAGTTGTATCGGGATAGTAAATTAAATTTTAATAAAAACAATTTACGGAGATATCAACAATATGTCATGCCCAAAATGCTGATTACAAACGGTGCAGCGAGATTTATGGCAGTTTGCATCGCCGAATGTAAGCCGAGTTTAAGATTAAGCAATATAGTCCAGCATGCAGATAATTTTGACCTGCAAAAGACGGTGTAAAGATTTTATTGTTTTAAATGGTCCATTTGGGTCCAAACAACATGTATTTGAAGAGTGCACACAAATTTTTTCCCGCCACAACTTTTGGCAGCCAAAATTTTCAGTTTTTCGCTTAAAACTCGAAAACAGTCCATATTTTATGAATAACACTGCTTTAGTAAATTAAAGAAAACAAAATTCTGCGTCTATCAAAAATCAAACAAAATCGATTCAATACAAAATTTTTTACAAGCGATCAAAAAGCGCCCATTTTTTCCAACGAATTTCAAAAATTAGTCCAATTTTAAATTGTTGGTACTTTTTGAACTCTCTGATTGATGTTCTACAATCTTTAGGGAGGGGGGGTAGTGGATTTTATCGTTCCTTTAGGAGCCACAACACATTAAAAAAAGGTTAACTCAGTTATTTAGAAAAGTTGGAAAAAATGGGCGTTTCTTGATCGCTTGTAAAAATTTTTCTATTGGACCAATTTTGTTTGTTTTTTTTTTATCGGCGCAGAATTTTGTTTTCTTTAATTTACTAAAAAAGTGTTATTCATAAAATATGGACCGTTTTCTCCTGACTGAAATAAATAGCCAGGTTAAGCCTTCCCTTTTACTTTCCGACTACATACGAAGTATTGTATAAGGGAAAGTATTGTTATCGTGATAAATTTTCGATATGCTAAAATTGCGTTTTCTGGACGTTTTGAAGCACACAGACTCCCAATTTTTAGCTTGACGTCTGTGTGTCAGTGGGTGTGTGTGTATGTGGTTCGCTTTTTGTGATCACGATAACTAAAAAACCCCTGAACCGATTTGGACGAAATTTGGGGTGCATACAGGTTGATATGGGCAATCGAAAACGTCCTATATTAGTTTTAATCCGTAACCATCTTCATGGTTGTTGAGGATGTCAAATTAAAAGAGCCATAACGGCTTGAAAATTTTTTTTTGCATACATTGACAAAATGGTTTTAAAAACTGTACAAAAAAGTTCATTACCATTTTTTTGTGAGTTCTTTTGTTTTTGAGAAGTTTTGGATTGAAAAGTTAAACTATTTATTTTATTTTTCTAAATTTGCATTTTTCTCTACAAGTAAGCATCAGAGTGAAAAATGTTAATTACAAACAATATGTATCTTGATGAGATCTATAAAAAGCCTTCTACACTTTTTGCGTCAGGTTCAAAATAAAGGCGCAGAGGGCATTTTCTAAATGTTATACTATGACGAAAGATAATTAAGTAAGATGTACCCTCACGACGAAAAAAATTAATTACAACAATTAAATAAAACACTGTTTAAAATTCACTAGAGTAGCAGAAGGGATTTTTTAAGTTTTTATCGAGAAAAAAAATTAAAATTTATTTTCTGTAGTTGGCTAAATGAAAGTAAAATTTTTAAAATTGGTCAGTAGGCCTTGGCTTTACTTGGATAATCGCTTGTTTTTATTAGTTGGGACCTTAGACCATATAGTACATGGACTGCTAATTCTAACTAAAATATGGTCAAGGACATCGCCTGGGTATGTGTGTTTTAGGGTAAACGAGTCTGTCAGAAGTTGTCCGATGAGACACGATTTGTGGCTGTCAACCTATAAATTAACAAACGTCAATTAATTAATTGCCCAGATATGGCAAAAAAAGCAAACCTATTCTAATTTGTGGACGTATAGAAGATACTCAAGAGTATTTAAAGCTTCCTGTACTACGCGGTTACCATAAAAGCTACTCTTTACGCGATTCGAGTGGTGTTTACACGACTTTAGTTTACCCTGAGATTCACATACCCACGACAACAGTGCCCTCTATCCGTGACCACCCATTTTGTATTGAAAGCATAGGGCTAATAGCAGTCCATGTACTATATGGTCTAAGGTTTGGACTGTTCACATTTTAAATTGTATTGTATGTGTATTGTGTTTGCATGTTTATGAATTAAAGGTTTAAGTGTAAAGTGTATGGAGAAATTGTAGGTAACACCCTGTAGATTTGCAACGAAGGACTTATGTTCATATAAATTTTTATGCATAAAATAAGCCAAAGAATTAACTCCTTCCGAATTTACATCGTATTTAGGAGCACCCTGTACATGTAGACCCAGGACAATTCAGTTGAAGTTATTTTGTTAAGAGCTGTTGGATGCGCGTCAGTAGAGCTTGGAGACGACGGATTCATGCGAGTTTACAAACATTGGTCTCACATGCCTCTTCACACACTTCGATCTACCGCGTAATGACTCATAACAAAACAATTCCACACTAGCAGTTTTGCTCAGAAACACACAAATTTATTTCATGATCACTTTTTGTAAGATTTCCCAAAGTAAACTACCATGTAGCAAGATTCCAGATAATTTGTTTGGCTTTATAAAAATAATTGTTGGAAAACACATTTTTACCTGAATGTGGGCCTCTCCCACTGCGTCGTCCTTGCTAGATGATTAACATAATATGTGCGTCCATTCGCGTCCTGTCTTTCCTCCCAGCCCGGTGGTAATGGAACACTTTGAGTATCGGCAGGACTCGCAAATGACTAAAAGTATGTACGAATGAAAGACATTTATGTTTCAGATTAACGTACTTGACTTGCTGATTCCGTCGTGTAATTAGAGAGTACCTCCCAGTCGCGTTCGTCCGTGGGATCTTCGGCGGAGCTAACATCTGAACCCCCGTCCCGAATGTAGGCATGATAGATTTCTAAGTGGCCACGCACCCTCGACCTAGCACTGTAACCACTGCGTCAGCACCACAGGTGCAACCATAATGTAAAGTTAGCATGCAAAACAGCAACATAAGCGTAGATGTAGATGAAGTATTAAAAAAAAAGTAGATAAAGACATAAATAAGAAAGAAACACTTGCATTAGAATTTTAACTTACCTGCGAGGTCTTAAAATATATTTCTTTGGCGGTATTACTCTGCCTTCTTGTTCTTTTGGGAGATTAATGAGTGTCAACTCCACCATGCCCAGGAAATCATCACGTGTCAGCCTATTTTCGTCAAATACCTGAAGAACTAATTTGTGTTCTGCCGGTTTAACCTGCATTAAATGTTACTAGTAAATTGGGATTAATGGCAAATGTTACCCGAAAGATAAACTCCTCATCCCACACCGGATTAAGCGTCTGAAAAGGTACCTACTATTAAAAACATACCCAATTGTATAGTTTTACTTTACCTTCTTCTTCGTTTTTGTAAGAACCGAATCAACTGTTTCGTCACCATTAATTGTACTTAAATCCACTCTAACATAAGGATCACTGCAATTACACAAGTTGTAGGTAGTCATAATAACGACCAATAAATTACCTTGCTCCGAAGATATCCTTTTTGGCAAGTTGATGCCCGTTAATCACCCTCAAACGCAATTTACTTGTAGGTTCCTCGCCCTAAAACAGGCAAAAATTTAGAATTATGATAACAAACATTATTCCAAAAGATGGGTTTTTGTAAGAACCGAATCAACTGTTTCGTCACCATTAATTGTACTTAAATCCACTCTAACATAAGGATCACTGCAATTACACAAGTTGTAGGTAGTCATAATAACGACCAATAAATTACCTTGCTCCGAAGATATCCTTTTTGGCAAGTTGATGCCCGTTAATCACCCTCAAACGCAATTTACTTGTAGGTTCCTCGCCCTAAAACAGGCAAAAATTTAGAATTATGATAACAAACATTATTCCAAAAGATGGGTAGCGGTTGAAACTTACGAATCCATCTTCTACAGGTGGCAGATATCCGTATATTTGATCAGATGCCATCAAAAAAAATAAAATATGTATCTACAACCTTCTCTAAAGGCCAAAACGAGCCATTTAAAAATCAAAATTAAAGACACTTAAAACGACAGGGTGTATGACGACAGCTGATTGCTGATAAACGTCAAAATTCTGTACTTGTACTTAACCTCTCTAATAATTATTATATTGTACTACAAATCTATACGACTCTAATTGCGTTAAAATAACAACAGATTAAGCAAAAAACTACAAGAGATCCATCACATTTTAGTTTTTTGAAATTTTAATCCTTTCCTGGATACGATCGCAGTGGCGTATCAACAAACGGGAAATGGAAACTCACCCTACTAAGTGCATTTAAGGACCCCCCCGTATTATTGTGCGAACGACTTAAGACAGTTTCGATTTGACTCGACGTCCATGTATTACTTCTTTGCCTTTGAATACGTGGTCTACCATTTCGATCGATATCATCTCTAAACATACGCTGCAAAACTGAGGACATTCTGTTCACACTTTCCTCATTTGCAATAATTAAAAGAAAATTACACCACAAACGTTTTATCGTCCATTTCCGTGCGAGGAAATAGTCTTCGAAAAGTCTCGCGGTCGACTAAAGTGACAATTTCTCCCTTATCTAGAGATTAGCGATGTGCAAACATGTCCCTGATAAACATAGATATACATAATCAAAAATAATTCACACAATAACGCGACTAACGTAATTTTTTTTAAACAGATTTTGAGGATGGCAAATATCGACCAAGCTGACGACTTCGATCCGCTGCGAAATATTACTGCGTATATTAATGATTTAGACACTACTCAGGTGCAGGATGAAGCCTTCATATACTGTGTGTATAGTACATAGCCTGTGTAAATCAAATTAGGTTCACCCAACGCTATGCGAACATAAAATTTTAAATTGCTATTATTTCCTGTCACTTCCGACTTAAGCGGATATGATCCTAAATTTCGAAATTTAAATGGCACACCCTGAACATTTTTACATTTTTGAGTTGGCGGGAAAAGTATTTAATTTTGGTGCTTTGAAACCGCCCTGTATATCTTTCAAATTACTACAATCATTTGGTAATATGTTGAGTAAATAATTTTTTTATTTTGTTATTCGCATGTCGTATATAATTATTTTATTGATCAACCTCGTACAAATTATCGAAAACAATGTATCAGGTGTAAAATTATCTGTAGAATCCAGAAAAGTTAAATTATACACGATGTGTCAATGAAATTTTGAAACGTATAGTCTCTTGCAGTCAAACCGGAAGTGACAGAAAAGCTACTATTTATATAGTATTCAATCCATTTTCAAGGGAATTTTTCGAAAGAAAAAAATCCCCTTATGTGATGGTTTTATCCGTCCGTCTGTTCGTCGTCTAACTCGAAAATGAAAAGAGAGAGGATCAGTGCCGGATTAAAAGTCATGTTTCCGTATGAGAACCGAGTGTCAAAAAGTATGCGATTCTTCGTATCTTGTTAAGCATAGTGTTACACACTAAAATTTTATTTTCGCATCGCTATGAGGGTGAGCTTAGTTTGATTTAGACACTGCATAATTTAATAGCAGGTAAATAGGATACATTTGCAATTTGCAGATGGGCAAAAGCAAACCTTAGAGTTACAGCAAGATATAGAAAAGCAGAAGAAAGGTAAAGAAGAAAAGGAGAAGGAGATTGAGACTTTGGTGATGATTCTTCAGCAACTCAAGGAAGATCACGACAGGTAAGTGCCAGACACTGACAACTAGCATTTTCACGTCAGTTTCATCAGTATTTTACGTACTGGAAACAGGAGGCTTCCTTATTTCCATGCAAAATTATGCTCTCCTTTCGCTTCCTATCAAATTACAAAATTCTAACGTTCCAACTCTAATAAACAATGGAAAAGTAAACTCTGTTACTAGTTCTACTTGCCTTGCTGAGGGTGAGTGCGCTGTACATCAGTTATTAACCGCCCTCCCTTCTTGGGAGTGTTATCTTGAGGGCTCAACGTCCCTCAGGGGCCTCAGGTGCTGAGGAACTGCGAAAAAGGTCGCTTTGCAAGATGGGATTTTCTGGAAAGGGGGGTTTCATGTTTAAAATGTAGGAATGTCTAATTGACATCGCCCCAAAATGTAATTGAAACCGTTCACGAAAAGAAAGTCCTAAAATAAGAGCTTTGGATAAACCTAGACACAGAGGATTCTTGGTTCGAATCCGGGTTTAGTAATGGATTTTTGTAACTGTGTATAGTGGGTCGGGGTAAGTCTACCGGACCTCTACCGACTTAAAAAACACAAGGAAATACAACAATTGTTTGTCTGCTATTGATTTGTGTAACTTTTATTGTACTGCGCGTTTGATTACATCGTTAAATTATTTTAGAATTATTCAAACAGTGGAAATATTACCAAAACTAAACACAAGTATGAGGCAACTTATTCATTACAAACACAATGAAATGGATGAATGGAAAGCAAAATGTGATAAGTCGATCAAGGAATTTATGCGCCAACATGAAGACACAAGGAAGCAGCATGCAAATATTACGCCCCTACATGCAGAATATCAGAAAACGAACATGGTGTGTTTTGAATCATCAATCCGTTTGAAAATACAGGTAAAGAAGCTCGAAGAAGAGAAGGAAAAGGAGATGTTGCGCAAAAAACTAAATAATCGCTTACACAACCAAAAAATTGTGAGTTTCGCTCGGGAAAGTTTGAATTATTATAAGTGGACGAATAAGAGAGATCGAAGCATTCCAAAACCAATTATCAATCTAACCGATTCACGTTAGTATATGATTTGAATAGGTAGGTACCTATTGTATTAATTACATTTTGCAGGTAACGAACCGGCCAAGGGTCACATAATGAGTAGAGTAGCTGAATTGGAGGTACTCCCATTTATTTAAATAAAAATTTCAAAATGGTTATTAATTTTTAGGAATTGGCCGCTTCTCGTGCAATACCAAAGTACAAATACGATCAGGATTGGAATCACACCTCTACCCTTGCAGAGCTCCCACGGATAAACTGGGGCGAAATGACTTTACGTATGACGCAAACGATGAAAGGATGGAGGCAATCATTAAGCTCATCTTTTTCAACAATACCAGACGCTTCAAACGCACAGAATGTAAAACGATCATTAGTGGGCGCAGATGAAAAAATAAATATCATTAGCGTTAAAAAAATTAAGACAGCTACTCTACCGCCAGTTGGCACGTCCCCAAAAAAGGGACCGGAATCGCCACCTTCTCAACTGATAGATCGCTTTGTAGAGCCACAAAACATACCCAAACCCAATATGGTTGTATCTTGTACTACATCTTACACGGTTTGCAAATATAATTAACACCTTTTAGGTAGAATCGAAAAACTCAAGTTTTTCCCCGGTCGTAACTTCCACTTTCTTTAATAAACCAAAAACACCCGCTGCCAATATAAGGAATAGAATTGCTTTTCAAACAAACAGCGGCAAGTCATTGCCGTCAACTGGTAACTTAATGCCGACAAACGGCAACTTAATACCGCCAATTGGTAATTTAGCCCCACCAACGGGAAACTTACTGCCGCCAACAGGAAACTTAATGCCGCCAATTGGTAATTTAGCCCCACCAACGGGAAACTTACTGCCGCCAACAGGAAACTTAATGCCGCCAATGGGTAATTTAATGCCACCAACGGGAAACTTAATACCGCCAACTCACAACTTAATGCCGGAAACCAGCAATTTGTTTGGTGAGGTCACGTTGATCATAAACATCAATCCAATAATAAATTTAATTGTTTAGCGATGCCTATGGAACCCACAGCCACTCCGTGCATGAACTCTCCATTTAATGACGGTAGGCACTTGAAACTCAAAGGAAACCTAACGTAAGTTTTTTTTTAGATCAATTCATGATGATGTCCCCTAGTGGTAGTGTAGATATGGAAATGCCTTCTTTTAATGTCAGTGCAGATTTTAATAACATACCGTCATTTATGGCTAACCCTAATCAACCAAGTACCAATTCTCAATCCGGACCAATTTCCCTGTTTACAAATGCAGGAGCTAATCCTTTTAAGATGTTTAATTAATCTCAGTTATTTCGAAAATCTAACCAGGTTTATTAGTTCGTTAAATCTACCCTATTGTCTTAGTTGAGTTAATTTATTCTTTGAATTTAAGTTCATTTCAAGTTACCTAAAGATATTGTTTCAATTATTTTATTCTAATAAATACTCAAATAGTGGATTGCGGTTTTCATGTTGAACACGGATCCTGGATTGCAGGATATTGGCTTACAATGATGTAAATTTGGATAACCCTGTACAGTGGTAGCCATGTTAGTCACTTCTGGATGTGCTTCGGACAGCAATCGCAATGTCCATATATATGGTACTGTCACTCATGTCAGATAACACTTATCAATATTTATTACACGTATTGTGTTCTGAGTTGTGTTTATTTGTAATTATGTGGTCAAATACGTATTAAGTAAACTCCAAACCGTAAAGTAAACGGTGAACGTTTAATATGTAAATATTAGAACTTATCAAATATAATAATTAAACAAAAATGAGGGTGCGAAGGGCCATAGCCTTAGTAGGTGTTTTTCTAATTTTTTTGGCATGTTTTATGATTTACGTAGCAATGGACATGACTGTATTTCCCAATCGCAGAACTTCCATACACGAAGAATACCAAGAGGTAAAACTCGTCATCCTATCTCCTCAAAATACCCGGACGTATTATTTCAGAATAAATGGTTACACTTTGAAGATCGTCTAAAGCAGTTGGAAAGCGATTTAAACAAACACCACGAAGAAGTGGGGGAAATTAAGGAAGCCATAAAAGTTTTGGTTCCGGCAACCAATACCACTCCAAAGTTAGTTAAAAAAGACGGTTTCAAAGTAGAGCATTTGGTTAGTAAGATCCCGTCTTCGGAGATTATTTTTGATGCGACTTGTCCATTCCAAGTGAATACTAATCCAAAAACTGACATTCAGGTATGAATTTACAGACTAGAGTGTTTTGTTATTACTTGTGTACTTTGCAGATGTTAGAATTATATAAGAAATTATCCTTTGATAATCCAGATGGAGGGGTTTGGAAACAGGGATGGAACATAGAAATTAATCCGTCAGATTGGAATAAGCAGCACAAACTTAAAGTGTTTGTTGTACCCCATTCGCACAATGATCCAGGTTGGATTAAAACAGTTGACGAATACTATCTATCACAAACAAAACATATTCTCAACAACATGATTACCAAACTTACCGGCGATCTTAGGAGAAAATTCATATGGGCTGAGATATCATATTTTTCAATGTGGTGGGACGATTTAGAACTCGCAGATCGCGAGAATGTTAAAAAGTATTAATTCTTCAATGTTAGAGTGTATACTGATTACAGTTCTTCTAGGCTTATTCATAATAACCAATTGGAAATTGTTACCGGCGGATGGGTTATGAACGATGAGGCAAATTCTCATTGGATTTCAATTTTGCATCAAATAACAGAGGGACATCAGTGGTTGGAACGGAATCTAAACTACACACCCAAAAGTCATTGGTCAATTGATCCATTTGGAATGAGTGCCACGCAACCATTTTTACTAAAAGAAATGGGATTGCAAAATATGCTAATACAAAGAGTACATTACTCAGTTAAAAAGCAGTTGGCTCGTGATACAAATTTAGAATTTCGGTGGAAGCAAGTGTGGGGTATGCTCTTGTTTCATTATTAGTACAATCATGGTCAAAAGTAATGTCCTCAGTTACCTAACTACTGATATCTGTTCCTCCATGATTTAGTTCAATCCCATTTTGAAACAAAGCTCAAGACATAATCGAGGGATATTACTTCGGATAATATTTTTGACTGTGATTGACATGTCTATTGACTATAACTAACAAAAATCACTACAAATAGTAACTCAAGTATTACTAGCAGTGGCACAACTTGAGCTAGAGTTGTGGGATTTGTTGGAGAGTAAACAATGTGACCAGACAATTCATAGGAAAAAAGATCCTTTTTCTGGTCAAAGAAGCATTTGTAAAGAATGCAAGACTTTATGATCCAGTTGCACAAACCAAAAAACAGTTGGTTGTTAAGACACGATTATTTTTGATCTGAGTATTAAGGCATTTGATTGGTTGTATAGTGGGTGTGTTTATACCATGATTGGGTAACAAAGGTATTAACCAATCACATCTCTCAATTCTAAATTCCGGATTACACTCCAATCAAATATGTTTGTACCCTATGTATATCATATAATAGTATGTTACAGGTAAGTATTGCAAAAAAATTAAAAATATGGTAGTGGAGAGTTTCAAACTATAATATGCTACGTACAGGGTCCAATTACACTTATTACGGAAACAAATTCCTCAAAAACTGGGGAGATATTAAGAAAAAAAATTTAAAAATCTGTAGATCAATAATGATGAAGCGTTTGCGGACCTATGTACGTATGTTTATGTGAACTTTTAGCCAAAAAATTAGTATTTGTATCAGTATTGACATCGTATTTAGGAATACACTGTATGTGAGAGTCTTGCAAGAATCTTAAAATGATCTTGAAAAATCTTATAGATATCCTAAGCGGATCTTAAGACTATTGTGAGAAGATCTTAGGATGGACTTCAGAAATTGAGATCTTCTTGAAATGCTCTTGACAATAATTTACATTCTCTTGAAGGAATTTTGAAAATCTTAAAAGAATTAAAGAAACTTGAATTTTTAGAAAATTTTAATAGAATCATGAGAAAATTTTGAGGGGTTTTTAAAGGAATCTTGATCTGGAGGGAACAATTTTAAGACGATTATGGGTAATCAGTTTTGGCAAGTACAAAAAAGTGTTCAGGTTTTCGTCCTCTCTACTGTCCAAATATTTTGGCATACTTGTTATAGTCCGTATACAGTAGGCGCTTGGTAATCTGGCACCCACATTTTTTCTCCTATGCCGGATTAGGGGATTTGTATGGAATATCATTTTTTATATTTTTTACATCCTACATGTACTATGTGCAAAATAAGTAGATTCCTACAGCTAAATGCCGGTTTACCAGGGGGGGGGGGCGCCGGATTACCAAGCGCTTGATGTACTTACATGATGTATTCTGTTAATATTGTAACAGTAAAAATCAGTCGTTTCTGCATTACAGATAATCTGGGAACAACTGAAATATTTACCCAATTGATGCCATTTTATTCATACGACGTTCCGCATACATGCGGGCCTGACCCGAAAATTTGTTGTCAGTTTGATTTCAAACGTCTACCCGGACACGGGCTACACTGCCCTTGGAAGATAGCTCCTCAACAAATAACCGACAATAATGTAGCACAAAAGTAATCATCCATACAGTTTGTGTCCTCACTAAATGTTCACTTTTAGAGCTGAGCTACTGTTGGATCAGTATCGTAAAAAGTCCATGCTGTACAAATCCAACGTACTGCTGATACCGTTGGGTGATGATTTCCGTTTCAGTCACTTAACAGAATGGGACGTTCAGTATGAAAACTATCAAAAGTTGTTCGATCACATGAATTCTAATCCCAAAATGTTCGTGCAGGTACTGAACTACCAATTCTTTATTTTGTATTATAATAATGACTATAGATACAATTCGGCACATTAACTGACTATTTCAATGCTGTACATGCAGAGAAGGGTTATGATCACTTTCCGTCGCTGTCCGGCGATTTCTTCACATATGCAGATCGAGGCGACCATTATTGGAGCGGTTATTTCACTTCCAGACCATTTTATAAACGAATGGACAGAGTGTTATTATCTTACATTAGGTAAAACTAACTTGCTGCATTTTGATATTAATTTTTTACCCATTTAGAGCTGCCGAAATTATACTAACATTGGCGCACTTAAGTGAACAACCTAGCAGTAATGGAATCGCAAGCGAGCAGGGTGGTTTTGGTAAAATCATGTCAAATGCCCGGAGAGAACTCGCTTTGTTTCAGCATCATGATGGTATAACGGGTACAGCAAAAGACTATGTTGTCGTCGATTATGGCACGAGGTGAGTTCTTTCCTAGGGGGAATCAACTTTGAATTTTTGGTGTACACCCCTTTGAATTAATTTGAATTAAACGTGAATTAATTTGAATTAACGTGAATTAATTTGAATTAACGCGAATTAATTTGAATTAACGTGTATTAATTTGAATTAACATGAATTAATTTGAATTAACGTGAATTAATGTGAATTAATTGGAATTAACGCGAATTAATTTGAATTAACGCGAATTAATTTGAATTAACGTGTATTAATTTGAATTAACGTGCATTCATTTGAAATAACGTGAATTAATTTGATTTGAATTAACGTGAATTAATGTGAATTTATTTGAATTAACGTGAATTAATTTGAATTAAGGTGAATTAATTTAAATTTGAATTTTTGGTGTACACAAAAAATGGTACTTGTTTCCCCCTAGGTTCTTTCCATCTTCATGGTGACTGTCTTGCAGAATGTTGAAAGCGATTCAGGACTGTCAAAAGATACTACAGCACTCTACCAATTTCTTACTCACGGGAAGTCGGAGCGACATTACTAAAAATGACGTGATACACTACAATGTTGATGATGTTCGGCATAGCCATGATAAGTTAAGTGAACGGCACACTATCACAATAGGACCAGAACTTAGCATTAAAAAACTGGTAATTTTTAACCCATTACCGTACGCAAGACGCGAAATTGTCTCATTCCTGGTATCCACACCATTTCTAGAGGTAAACTATTCACTTGCACGATAATATGTGCGTACAAAGTTGGTTTTAGGTACTAAATTTCAAAGGCAAAAAAATTAAATGTCAAATTTCTCCAGTATTCGAGTATGGTTCCATGTCAAATTCAAAGTATAAGTTGTTCTTTATCGCAAATATTCCCGCATTTGCTTTAGTTTCTTACACAATTAATGCGATCATGGAACATGAGGTTCCAAAGTAAGGCGATTGTTATAAAATTATGCTTTCTACAGTAGCAATTGCAGGGAAACCGTACATTCCACAATTAAGATTTTTAATCAATACGCTGAGGTGAAGTCTCCAACGGGCTTCCCGAAAATACAAGTCTCTCCCAGTGCCAGTGAGTTTGTCTTGCAGAATGCTCGAATATCAGCCGCATTCAGTAGTTTGGGACTTTTGAAAGCTATAAAGGTAGCCACAGTTACTACACCTGTACATTTAGATTTTGTCAAGTAAGTGTATATATTTGAAATTCCTTTAAGTTTTCATAAATTTAAACAGATACGGCGCCAGGTACGGCGAAGAGAGGAGTGGGGCTTATCTATTCCTTCCCGATCGTGACGCATCTCCAATAGCGATTGAAAATACCGTTGTAAAAGTTGTCGAAGGTCCATTAGTTTCGTTTGTTAGTGTACAGCTGCCTAATGTTCACCACACCACCACTCTTTACAACACGCCAGGTATGTCATTGACAATTGACTGTTGAAATTAATTCTTAGTTTTTAGGAGCCGATGGTCTTGGTCTGGAGATTCAAAATTTAGTTGACATAGAACGGACTTCCAATTTTGAAATCGCAATGCGATTATCCACAAATATTAACAGTACAAATGAATACTTTACAGACTTAAATGGATATCAGGTAACTCATGCGAGGTGTCTCACTTAAATTGAAAATTGAACTTTGAAATCTGAACGAATTGATTAGTCAGTAAAAATTGACCTGATTAATAGTTTATGGCTGGTCATTTCTATGTTAGCTTTCTCCGGATATTTTCCTGAAAGGTTTGTTCCTGTGGAAATTAATTATCAGATAAATTAACAGTAATAACCTTTTAAGTATTTAATTTTGAAGGTGAAATTTTAAATTTAAATTTCAAGTTTTAAATATTATTGTGTATAATCCAGCCTTCATTTATTTGTTACTGATTTTTTTCCACCAACATTTTTTTAGTGCATTTTCCAAGGAAGTTGGGTGTGCTATTGCAGTCACTTTTTCTGTCCGTCCAAAGACTTCACAGGTTTTCAGTACATTTAGTTTTTGGCATTTGGTAGCTCTGTCACCTGTGTCATGAAAAATCTTGATGATTAATGTGCGCATGCACACAGGGCCGTATCTAGGCGGTGGCGAAGTGGGCGCCCGCCAAGGGCGCAGCTACCGGGGAGGCGCAAAATTGATCATGAAAAAATTTCTTTTAACATTAGTGTACCTATTAGGAAAAAAATCAGTTTATTTAAACAAATGTTATTCCAGATTGTTAATACTGTACATACTGCGACTGTGAATAGCTGGGTCGTTACAAAGTGATATTACCTTCATCTCTGCCCTTCCCCCCTTTTGCCTCCTTATGGCAATGTAATATATACAGTGTGTCCAATTTAAGAAGGACAAGCAAGTCAAATGATATTTTCAAAATTTGTAAATTCCGATCAGTTCCGAAAAAAAACGAAATTAATCATATTCGGTTTTATTTTTTGGCGGCCCTGTTTGAAAATATACCAAAAAACAAATAACACTTCCTCATAGGAACTTTTTAAGCTGTACAATTGGCGTCTTTGAGAAACCATCAACAACAATGTATGGCACAATAAGATTTTTTATAACCTATATCATTTAAAGGAACAATCAATGAATTATTTTGATATTTTGTCAACGCCTACTACAGTAAAATGTTAAAAATTATTTATTATTTAGCTCAGAAAAATGGCTTGTTACTAAATTTTTAACATTTTTGGTTTAGTAGACGTTGACAAAATGTCAAAATAATTTGTTCTTCTAAATGACATATTGTACCATACATAATTGTATCCGTAATCAAAAATGCTACTCAATACATTATGTACTTTTTTCCGATCCATATAAAAATAGGAAGTTGATGATGGTTTGTCAAAGACGAAACGTCACAGCGAAAATCTTGTAAAATGGTGAGCTTAAAAAGTTACTTTTGGTTTTTTTTTATGTCTTCGAAACTGATCGGAATTTCCGCATTTTTAAAACATCGTTTTATTAAGTCCTAAAATGCGCAACTCTTTCTAATTTAACCGACTGTGTACTTCTTATGGTTTCCGATGTGTCCATGATGTTCATTCTTATCTTGGACACACTGTATTTTGTAATCTTTTCTCCATGTTTTAAAGAAGCGAAATTCTCGGATGAAAAAGATTCAAACCTTGAACTTGAGAAAATTTTCGGAGGTTTTTGTTGGGGGGTATTTCATACCCCCACGCGCAGGTGGGGGGGGGGGGCGCAAACTTGAAGTGCCGCCAAGGCGTGGTCATATCTAGTTACGGCCCTGCATGCACAGACTGCGGAATGTCAACTTTCTTCTTGAAATATTTTTACTATAAATGCGTCTAGTAAAGGCAAACATATCGCATATCGTAAAAATCAGATGTGCGCATGCAATACCGGAAGTGGCACCGCTTCCATAAATTCCGGAATTAGCGCCATGTTGTTTTTAGGATTTAGATTTTTGTCAAAAAAATTGCAAGGGTCCATTCAAAAATTCATATCTCTTAGGATTTTTTTCAGTGACTGTCAAAAGTCTTGAAAAAGTGTCCAAGGTTGCTGCGATTTTTCAAAGTTAGCAATCAAAAAATGTCAAAAACCCAAATTTCTAATGCCAGAAATGAATGTAGAGTTAAATTTTAGGGCCCTTTTATTAACATTCTGTATGCCTATATTCGGTAGTTTTTGAGTTATTGGCATAAATAATAAACAAATCAAAAACAACACAAAGTGGATAATGACCCATATAGTGAAAATTGGACGAGATAATTTGAACACTAAAATAACATTGTTTCACATTTGATTCGAAGGACATTCCAAATAAAACGATTGCTTCAAAAGCCAAAAATAAGAATATTTCTTTAAAAATTGCCATTTTTGAGAGCCAATAGAAACCTAAAAACAATTTTGCCTGAAAAATTATTTTACCTTACTGCTATAAGAACAATCAAATCTGAACAACTGAAATATAACAATAGCAAGAAATTCACGACTCACAAACATGATAGTCAATTTTTAAATTTTTGTACTAATTATAATTTTCCATTTTAAAAATACTTAACATTTGTAGATTCTCCGCCGCATACGTTTCTCAAAACTCCCATTACAAGCAAATTATTATCCGATGCCAGCAATGGCGTACATCGAGGACAAAAATGTCAGATTGACAGTGGTAACGGGTACACCGTTAGGTTGTGGGTCCCTGCGTGAAGGGCAGATTGAGGTTATGATGGATCGTAAACTGAATCAAGACGATCATTTAGGTTTAGGACAAGGTGTCACGGATAACCATCCGACGGAACACATTTTTAGAATTATTTTGGAGAAGAAGACTCATAAATGTGAAACGACTGCCGATAATCATCCCTCAGGTTTTCCATCGCTGTCGGCGCACGTCGCGTCGCAGTCGCTCTTAAATCCTTTGATTCGTATGTTGAAAAATGATGAGGATGAAACGGATCCGACACCTGCGTATCTCCCAGTTACTCACGATTTTGGTGTAGATTTCACAGTGCCCAGCTTAAGAACGGGCATTGAAGTGAACGGGAAGGAATATGTGGGTGTCATTGTCCAGCGTCAACATTTGGACGTTTGTTTTAGTGATAGGGTACTACTGCAGCAATTTCCTTTAAGTCACGGAACGGTAAGATTTTTCTTATAGGGAAACTCTGATCTTATTCAGTTTTTTAGGTGAATCTCAAATCGTTACTTCCCCCACTTCCTGAGGGTGTGGCGTTGCATAAATCTCTTCTGTCATTTTTAAATATTGGCAGTAAAATATTATTAAATAGCGACATAGAAATGTGTCCGATGGATATTCAAGCATATGTTCTGGATAGGTGAAATGCTAAATCTTCTCATTTTTTCCACACGGTTACTGTTAAGTTAATTTAATTGTTGATCTGATTTTTGAAGCTTAATTTGATAATGGTAGCAAACACAGTAATTCTGTTCGTACCAAAATAGACGCTCTCATTACTAATTAATGAATCACAATTTTTTGTTTGTGATTTTTTAGTACAAATTAGTTAATCACGATATAGATTAACAATAATTAAGCTTAAGCTCACTAGTTTTGTTTGTGATATTAAAGTAAACACATATCGTGATTTGTAAATATCGATTACCTTGTAGTTTGGTGTTAATAAGTAGGATATTTACATATGGATCCTGTTTGTAAATAGTCAATAGTTCTGTAACCAAATAGTAAGGTCGTGCACTCTACACATGTGACACATGCTTTGAAAAAGCGCAACCAACCACAACAGGGTGTCTTATGGATAAACTTTAAATTTGATGTAAAAGACTGTTTTTTATGTGAATTTTTAATGCTTTGTAATTTGCGGACAAACAATTTAAATTAAACGGTGTCACGTTTTGTATATAAATACAATTGTTAAACCGTTCCGATCCACGTATTGCAACTCAAAGTTTCCATATTTTCCTTTTAATAATAGCAATTACATCTTCATCCAAAATTGAATCCACATAATCCTGAAGTAATTTTTGATCGTTATTCAGACACACAACTTCTTTGATTTCTGCAGCTTCTTTTCGTTGATCTGCAATTACTTCTTTGAACTGTTCACTGGATAAACATTCAACAACAGTAATATATTTCGACTTCTTAATTATCTTGTCACAATCGATACTCGCTACTTTCTCTTGTTGCTTGCAGTACTTTTTACACACTTCAGTTAGGGAAATTGCTTCCATCAAGTTTTGTTGTAGTGGCACCTGAAATGAATGTTGTGAATCCTTGGTTTGTTAAAACAAAATAGTCTTTTCAAATACAAAAATAGTCGAACCTCGATAATTCGGTCTAATTGAGACCAGAGAACCGACTTGGCATGGTGATGACCTTGGTATGGGAACTGTACAGTTGGTGCAGTTTGATGTAGGCCAGCGCCCATCGCGTCAACAAACACAAGTTAAAGAGATCCAAAATATCGAGGTTCTACTGTAATAGTACAATTATTTTATATTATTTTCAATGTTATGCAATGATAGCTCGTTAAAAAGAGAATTAAAAAATCTATTAAGTAATCTAAATATCCAATATGGCGTCTATTTAACTTTAGGAAGTTTGTAAATGTTCCTCAAAAGTAGCCATCTTGAATTTTTTTTGACCTAAATTCTAAATTAAGACTTTCATATAAAAACTAATCAAAATCAAATTATAATTGAAATTTCTAATTTCTAAACCAGTAAATAAATTTCGAATTGAGTGGTGATATTTTCATGAGTCAAGGCCCATATACATTTTGGAGGGATGAAAGAAAATAGTGCATATTTTGGGGTTTTTGTTCTACGATAGATTAGCATTTTATTAACTTTTTAAACCATTTTTATTACAAAACAAGTTTCCAGTGGTAGTAATTGCAACAATTATATTTTTATTTATAAATTATAAAGATAAACAAATAATAAATCAAATAAAATAAAAATTATAAAATAGAAACAGAAAAAAAGAAAACAAAAAAAAATAAAAAAAAACAAAGAATAAAAAAATAAATAACATACAAAAAAAATATGGCGCCCCCGTTTGTCAAATTATAAAACGTCAGCGGTGTTCAATTCAGCATTAATGTAAATGCAAGCTGTTTAAATAGTTTGAATTAAATTAATTTTTTTAGGCATTATTTAATTTTTGTGCATTTTTGACATGTTTTCATGCATATCCTCTGGTCCGGTAATGAGTGCTTACTTGCTGATATTCCAATTTGCTAATGCAAATTAAATTGCTCAGTTAGAGGGAGAAAAAAGGTAAAACCAAAAATTAGAACCCCAAGGGTATTTTCACACAGTAAAAGTAGAGTGCCTGTTTACTGTATGTGTCGATGTCGATGTGAATCAATCAAACCACATACAACACTCCTGCAGTGTAACCTTACCTGCGGATTTATAATTAGCAAACGTTTTTCAGGTTCAATTGAATTCACGAATTGTGACACGAGCATTTGCACAATTGCTTCACTTACACGTTCTTCATTATCTATAGGCTACAAACGATTAATGCATTACAGTTTTAGTTCTTTTTTCCTTACCAAGTCCACCCACATATTTATGCTAATTGCAATTTCAAGATTCTCTACAAAATGCCACCATCTATGAGGTACGATTAGTACGTCGCCAGGATTTAAGGTGATAGATCTACAATCAGAAACACCTAAGACGTTACATCAGCGCACCCATTGCTCGTATTACTGTCAAATTCATCGCCGCGAGGGCTAAACATATTAATCTTGGAGTAGATGCTGGATTCTTCGTATGGAATTCTAGTTCTTTGTAAATTTTCGCCGGAAGGGAACAAAAGCCAGCGTTTTCTGAAATAAGCAACTAGTGAATTAAAATAAAATGACATTGATATGGGACCAGGAGCCTGTAACACAAGCCATATAGAATATATTTTACAATTACAACTCAGAGTTACAGGCAGAGTGTAACTTGTTACAATTGTAGTTTGGGTTACAGGCCCCCTGGTCTTCCATGTAATTTGTAATTTTGACAAAAAACAAAAATTGTAGAAAAACACGTCCCTAGATGGCTAGGGTCAAGTTTAATGGAAGGTTTATTGTGGTCGTAGCATTTATTTGTTCACGCCCAGTAACCCCTCCCCCTCTGCTGGTATAGACCAGCAATACAATTTGAAAGTACCGACATTCTCTTGGCTCTATAAACACTAGAGAGTATTCTGACTATATACTTGTTAAATATGGAATTTGTTACATCCCAATTTTCAATTAGAATATGCCACTACTACACCTATTGGTTACATGCATAGTTAAAATAATAACGAAAGAAGTAGGATCAGATAGCATTAATTGTTTGCTTGCAAGTTGATTTATACACTTAATAGGTTTGTGGTACCTCCCATAAATTTGTGCGACAATGTTGCAACCGTAGGTATCAATGTGCATGGGCGTATGTGCACCCTTTGAACCCAACCAAAAGGTGCTATCCTCAACGCCACGCTCCGGAAAGCCAAACTTGTCCCATGAAATATGCTGCAAAAGTTGAATTGCTTAAAACTCACATCCAGGAGCTATCTCTACCTTACGAAGCTCATTAACGTTTCGAAACCAATCCTTAAGGTACTTGTAATCGAAATATAACCATTTATTAGGAGTCTCCTGAACGAATGTCAGAAATTCGTCAAACGATAGTTGTACAGTCTTTGTACTGTTTTCGAATTGCGGCCACTGAAACAAATGGTTCAGTTTTTGATCTGTCGGAATTGATTTTACATCTGTGTGAGTGTAGATGCCCTGTCGAAATTGTAAAGGTTGGGTTCCTAGGATTTCTTTCCATCGATGTAGATCCCACTGCAGTATCTCCCAATTTAAAAGATTCCTTATAAGTAGGGGCTTTGTTGTACTTTTTATTAAGTCTCGAATACTGTTGGGATCCATGTGAAAATTTTGAAAAATTGCTCTCTAATTGCAAATGTGTTTTGTTTACCAATGTACAGGTTATGTACTGTGGATGGTGGTTTGTCTCATTGAAGAAAAATGGATTATACCCAAGCAATTTGTAAAATGCTTATATTTTGAAGCGGAATTTAGTAATGAAATCTTGATAAACATCAAAGTAAACAATACTCTTTGTAAACATTTATATTGACACAGGGATTATATGCAAATGTGGGTCTGCACTACACTAGTGTTTTGTGGCTTGCATAACAGTCAGGTGGCACGCATCCATCACACAAGTTGATTTTGATAGGTAATTATGAGTGAATCCTATTGTTGTACCTATTTATAGGTGAATCTATGTTTTCAGAGTAATTGAGGGATAGAAAAATATGCAAGCTGTACCTACACCTAGAAGTGTAATAGAATTCTGTATGCAGGACACTGCTGCAGGCATGGGCACGAAGGTTTAGTTTAGGGTCCTGGTTCCGAGGGACTCCACTACTCCAGGCGCCAAAAACACAACAGACCAACAGACAGATGTAGGTAAGTACACTTCTGGATTTCGAGCAAAGGGCTAATTCACGTCTACACACCCATAGGTCTTCTTTTTGGGCCCTTGGTACTCACTGCGCTGAAAGCCGGGTGTTCCTATTTCGGCATAGCAGGCGCAGGTTTCTTATTCATACTCCTGTACAACGTGCGCGATGGGTCCTGTGATGGCACCCTCCCCTTCCCGCGTGGCGGCGATTGAAAATACTTTACAAGGTGAGTCTTATTTGTTGACTTTTTTGGGGCAATATTAGACTAAAGTTAAAAAACATTCTAGTGCAAGCTACCTATTAATAAGTACTACAGGATTTCGGCTATCTTTAATAATTAATTATGTGTATAATTAGATACTTCCAAATTTCAATTGGCCCGTGAATCAGTCCACCAAAGATATACCTATGTAAGGTACAAGAAGGTACATATAAATGCACCTGTAGTCCTGTACCCTTTCCATTCCACCTTTTTACTAGTTAAAGTAAGCTATTGTGAATATTCTAGACAATTTAGCAAGCAGTTTGTTATTGCTATAAATAAAGCTTGGTTTTAGAATGAGCTTTAAATTTGATGTGGGAACCTATGTCCTAACGCTCCCTATTATGTTAAAAATTGTTGAAACATTATCCAACGTCGATTAGGCCTAAATAGTCCTAGTTCCCAGGGTATGTTGTAGGTAGAGAATATTGTAAACAATTAGAAATTAATACTGCCAGGCCAGACACTAAATCGAAGGCCAAAAACACAACCTTATACTGACAGTCTTAGACTTGATTTTTTTATGTATGATATTTAGGGGGCTATTTTACTATGTTTTGTAAGCTGCCAGACCAATCGTAGGGGCCTAATCGTATTTATAGTGCCATCGGCCGTGAGTAAGAGCGAAAGATCACTATACGTGCGCTTATTGAGTGTGAGCGAGATAACTATACATATGTGCAGGGCCGGATCTACATATTTTGCGCGTGTGGGCCCCTCAAAATCGCCCCCTATTCTCTTTGAAATTCGACGTGATCGTTTTTTGGGCTAATTTTTACGGCGGCCCGTGTAGCGTAGTTCAGTGGAAGCTCGACTGCGGTACAGGGTCCCTGGTTCGAATCCGGGTTCGGGCATGGTTATTTGTAAATGTATAGTGGGTTGGGTTGGTAGAGCAGCCTCGGCTGAAACCCCGCCCACTTAAAAATAAAGGCAAAAATAAAAAATAAATAAACTAGGTTTGCTTTTTCTGCGATTGGAATTTTTTTGTAGACTGCTAGTTAATAACTATGATCCCCGTATGTCCTCTTCCAATTGCCCATATTGCGGTACTGCTTACAGGGGCGGCGGGTCCAACATCTTTGCCTCGGTGCTATAGGTATTAGATTAGGGCGATGATTGTGAATATGATGTAAATAATTTGCATGGGGGCAATGGATCCTTAAGATCACCTTGCATGGGGACATGGGCCCCGTTGCCCCCCATAAGTCGCCGCCCCTGCTGCTATACTATACCAAAAGGGAACCACCGCCATCATGCGATCGGCAGCACTTTACCGCCAACCAGAAGCTGCCATTCTCATCTAATCTGTTGCCGCAGCGCTATGCAAAATGGAACCAACGAAACTGGACGATTCATTGGTATCTCTGTTCAACCCCCGTTTTTGAAAATACTTTGTTATCGCTAATGAACCCACTCGCGATCCCTATTTGTATGAAGCGGTACATATTAAATTTTAATCGGTCATGCCGGAATCTTAAACTCATTATTAAGAAGAAAAAACACAGACAAGGATAATTCTACCCTTTAATTCGTACATGAACCTATTTCACACAGTAGCCTAAGCCCAAAAGGCTTTTAATATTGAAAACCTAACTCGGAAGAAGCTTCCCATAACTCGCATTAACTTACTAGATCAAATTAAATTCGCACCCGCACCCACTAATGAGGATCGTAACACTGTAAGAAAAAGCCTGTATCCAAGGACGCCACCTACTATAGGTACCCGTACCCAGCTAAGAAGCGCTGGCCTTGACCCGGGGACAGAAATCACCCATGTTACACCCTTGAGTGAAGGTACCTTTTTTGACACAACGTGCCCCTGGAACTTGCTCTGGAAAAACTTCATAGTAGCGACTGCGGTGTAGCAAGGTGAAAAAGAACAGTTTTCCTGTAAAATGCCAAAAACTAAAAAAATGCACTTTTGGTGGTACCCTCCCCTGCCAGAGGGGGGCGGATGGCTCCTCTTCTAAAAATGTTTCTTTTGGTCCAATATACAATTGTTGTGTACGGTGGCTTGCTTTAATAATCAAACACCCTATAGTGGCATTTTTCGACTTGGTAAAACTATAGGACTATTTACCTGCAACAGTTTTAGTAGGTAGGTGGCCATACTAATATGCTTGTCCCCATAACTTTCCATCTTGGTACGCAGAGGGCGCTGCTCCCTTTAGTTATGCAGTTGTTGAGGGGATGAATGTAAGAGATTTCATCCTTCCCTCATCCCCCCTCCATATTCAATGATACTACGTACCATGTTTATTTGCATACCTATGCTGAAAAATTTGGAGGAAATTCGCTTGAAAATTGCCCATACCGATAGAGCGCCATTGGAAAGAAATGCGATCAACAAAATTGACATCTTTTGACAGATTGTTGCAAATAATAAAAAAAATTTACCATTTTGCGTTTATTTAAAATGTTTACTAAATAGGTACTTCACTAATTGTTTTAATAACCTACCAATTGCTTTTGGATAGTGTGTTTCTACTCTGACTTGTCTTTATTAGGGTATCTATTTCTTTTACCTGGTTTCATTATTTTTGTAAGTTTGCGCAAACCTTTCGCGTATTGTGTGTATTTTCAATGTAATACATTTATGATAAAGGCAATTTTTATAATGTTTATATCTGTAGGTCAGTTCAGTAGGTTATCAATAACGATAGCTAATTATGGGGACGTACGTAATTTACATAGTTAATTAAATCAATTAGACGATGCATTTTCATCAGTGACTCTTGATACCTCTACGTAATAAAGGGGCCTAAATAATGTTACCTCCTAGTGCTCCTTCTAGTGAAACTACATTTTTCCAAGTTGAGGACGAACCTGATAGTCCTCCTTCTTACCATGAAGCGATTAACATGAAACCAATTTCGCATCATAATACCTTCGTACAAAATTCAACTAATTACGGTGCGTGTCCGATTCCGGATCCACCACCTTATAGCCCGTGCCCTTCGCAAATTGGAAAAGTCACTCAATCTGGGATGCCTTTCAATTCTGCATCACCAAACGTTCTTCCGGTGAGTACGTACCTACGTAATTTGCCATTTTAACGGAGGGCTTTTAGGTGGCAACTTCAGTTCGGAAAAAATATGCCGCATACGGATTTTGTGTATTCTTTTTAATTATTGTCATGATTGCTGCATACTTAGGGAAACAGAGTGGGAAACACAATTATCATAATCGCCATAACTATGATTGGAATTTTTAACATCTACCTACTATTTTATTTAGATTATTAATCCATTATGGCTGTGCATAGATGTTATTGAAACTTTGCGGTGGCGCTTTAGGTAATGTCAAAGAGAATGTTGATATTGATGATGACCAATTAATGAATGACTTACCAAAAGGTAAAACATAAAAGGGTACTAAACATAAATATACTGAAACCAACACTAGCATAATAGAGGACAGTATAGGTACCGGCTATCAATTTTCAAAACGAGTATTTTCCCATATTATCAGTATAGTGTTGAGTCTCTTTAGTATTTTTTGGTACCACTAATAACGGGCGATCAAAAATGAGTTGCTGTCGAGTCGCCTTTGGAAGTTCAAGTTAAGTACGATTTCCCATGTAAACAAAAATTCCAAAGGCGACTCGACAGCAACTCATTTTTGATCGCATGATAGTATCCCTACGTATTTATAGTACTTATCAATGTATGATTTATCTTTTACATGTCATTATTTCTAATGATAATAACCTACATACGTTAAAAATATTTCTCTTTTATTGTATGATTCTGTATCGATATATTTTTTTTTCATAAAAGCACTACCTATATTTAGTAGTAGTTTTCTGAGAGACGCTGTCAGACCCTTTGACAGGCGAAAAAGTGAGTTCTGGCATTTCATGTGTTATATGGGTTTTTAATTAATATTGCTGAGCTCCCTCTAGTTGTATTGTTGGTATATATGGGTCTGTGGTGGTATAACTCAGCAATCCCTGAGTGGAGGAAACCGTCTATTTCTAATTTCTGTGTAGACTGAACATCCCCGATAGTTCCCAGGGTGTTCTCCTAGGCAAAGTGCACATTTTGCTTTGCTTCCGTCCCCTTTCTTCTTGGAACATATTCTGTAGTCATGGTTTCTAGCACATTTTACACATGGGTATCGTCTTGTGCAGTAGTTTTGGGTGACTCTGACACTGACATCTTTTACTTTGTGCCATTTTTTTATGATTGGTAGTAATGATAGTATTTAGTAGAGTGGTAATTTCGTAGATTTCTTTGTTTTTATCAGTTTGTTGTTTGAGATCGATAAAGAATAGGTTTAGTGGGGTCTTCTTGCGATGCTCAGCTCCAGTGATATTCATTAGGTACTTGGTGATCCAATGCCTCAAGAACTTCCTTTATATCCTTTTATCTGTGGAGTGGTGCAGATTTCTTATTACTACTCTGATTGGTTTGTCGTCAGGTAGGATGGATATGTGTCTAAATATGAATAATATAACTATTTTTTGTAACTAAATATGAAATAACATATTACTGTGTGCAATTGCAAACGTCACTAAGCCACCCACAAAACACCAGCTAACTCAATTAATTTCAATTACTCACAAAAAACAATTAACATGAAACTCTTAAAATCCAGGATTCCAGGATCGTCACTTGAACTCATTCTAATACGAAACTGGTCTTTTACACAAAACACAACTTTACTCTAAAATTGCTGTAATAAAAATCGGAAACAGTACCAGCGACAAATGCCACGCTACAAGCTCTCGATTGAAACAGGTTAAATAAAATCTCAATTGTAATGTCAATAATTCAAAAATCCAGTCTACACTGGAATTCCCAAACACTGACCTTGTTTAACTCTTCTAAACTCGACGGTGTCCATATTTCGAGTGCCACTATGGGGATCTCACTTATCTTAAGAGATAGAAAGTTGGTTAAATGGGGGCAAAGTTACCAATTTTCGTGCTGAATAAGAATCTGAAAAGAAATTTGGAATATCTTCAATAGTTTTGACGATCGCAAAAAACCGAAAATTTCTGATTTCCGTTTTTAATTTTTTTATGATAAACTAATCGTAGTAGACATTTCTAATTAACACATTATTGGGACACTTTTTAATGGAGATTTCAAATATGGCATCGTGGTTTTAATAACTTTCACGATGACGGAGTGGCAACTTTAGTTTTTCTTATGGGCGCCATTTTGAATTTTCACATTTTGTTTTTCCAACGCACTCTTCCCAAAAAATTAAAAAATGTATTTTCAGGAAAAATGTGATACTGAACCACCATGTGTGATATATCGTTGTAAAGAGAAAAAAAGACGTAATCTCAAAATGGGAAAATTCGAAATGGTGCCCATAAGAAAAACTCAAGTTGCAACGTGTTTCTCCGTCATCTCCATTAAAAAGTGTCCGAATAATGTGTTCATTAGGAATGTTTACGACGATTAGTTTATCATAAAAAATTAAAAACGAAAATCAGAAATTTTCGTTGTTTTGCGATATCTTCAAAACTATTCAAGATATTTCAAATTTCTTTTCAGATTCTTATTCAGCACGGAAATTTGCAACTTTGCCCCCATTTAACTAACTTTCTATCTCTTAAAGTGGGATCCCCATAGTGGCACTCGAAAAATGGACACCGTGTATACTTTGCTATAGTTTCTATAGCTTAGAACGCCGCGATTGACTATTTCTACACAAAACTTGCTTGAGTACACCAGAATTTATCAGAGTGTTTCAAAAACAAAATAACACCTTGCGCTGCCAATTTGTACGGGTTCTGTACTGTACTCCACCTCCGCCAAAGTAGCACAAGAAAAATCATCCGGCACCTTCCACTTGTTCCCGCGAAAGTATATCTTCGGATTTTCTCCGAGAACATCAATTTCCCTCTCCTTTCATGTTTCTAAATCGACAACCCTTATGATACGAACCCTTTTCTACGAATCAAAAAATTCCCCCATTCAGCAGAATCCCACACACTTAATTATAGCGCAACAACCAGATAACAGCGCTTGCGCCGTAAACTGAAATTTTCTTGTAACCTTAGCCAATCACGTCGTATCCTACGACTCTAATGCCGTGCGCCTTAACCTTTCAACGAACAATTAAAAAGTCAGGACAATACTGGAAAGTACCGTTACATCTCCCCCCTTAGGTGAGAGGAAACGCAAGAAATCGTAATTTGCACCAGATATTAATATTATCAATATATGATACAAAAAATTCAAATGCCGTCAGATGAGGATAGTTAAAACCTGACATGAAAACCTTTGAATTCACTCGTAGGTATAGAGAACCGATTGCTTATCTGTTAAACAAATTGCAATTCGTTACTAAAGGAAGAGATAAAACGTAAAAAGCGCAATGCAAATGCTGGCTAATGTTTTACGAAGGGCCATGCACCTGCTTTTTTACAGTTTACAATTACAGTCCAAAAAAAATTCTGAATCAATTGTTCACGGAGGGTAAATATAGGTGGAAAATTTGGCGCAATATCTGCAATGTACAAAAATTAACAATCCGAGGAAATAACTCTTGAATTTGAATAATCTAAATCTGACTAATCTAATACAAAATTTGGTATGCTCACAAAAGTAGCCAACTCAAATAGATTTAAAAGCAATTCCACTACTTTCCCATTTGTGAAAAATAAGATTCTTCAATTCAGAAGGTATCTGGAGGTCCTGGATACGGTAACCTTAGACTGAAGTTGTATGTCGAGATGAGGATGGAAAAACACTTGCAAATACTTTTTTTATTCAATTTTTGTAAAAAATTTCCATAATATGAAAGCAGTACCGAGTAACAGTACGGCACTTACGCACACTACAGCTACTAGGATTCCTGCATTTGACTCAGCTTTAACGACGGGAGGAAGTGGAGATGTCTTCGTGCCTTCCTCCATTGCGTCCATACTATACATTCTGCCATATATTCCAAAAGTAAGCAAAGAATCTTCTGGAGACGTTAAGGCCATTTTAATCTTCACTTTAGAATCTGAAATCTTCGTTTCGCAATAAACATAATCAGAAATTGGTGTTAAGTCCGCTTTTAATGTTGAGGGTTGATTATGCGTGTCATTTGTTATATCGACAATGGTTTGTATTTCAATACTTTCAAATTTGGTAGATTTCTGTGATGTATTAGTTCGAAATCCGCAGGATTCCTCAGTTTCATTGAGACAAGCAATTAAGGCACACGTTCTGATGGCTCCAAGCACGTTACTTCCAAAGGGACTCAAGCCCTTGTAAATCGCTATTCTGAAATTCTGTACACGTTATTTTTAGTTGTTTTAACTGAACCCACCTGTGTCCATAGTCTGCCGTGGTTACTGAAGAACTGTCGACAGTTATATTGAAAAAGCAGCAGAAGTCTTCGTTATCGGTGCAGATGCGCGTTTGTGTTTTCCCTTGTTTTCCAAGTGGTTCGTAAATGTAACCTTTGGTACCGTCGCGATTTAATGGAAAATTGTCAATATCTGTATATTCCCCCTTCTGTAACGGTTTCTTAATCCCTTTGTTCAAGTTCTATAAGTTTAATGTATGCGCAAGCGGTCTATTAGCTTTCCTAGCTTACCTCACATGCGCCTATCGCTCTTTTCTGGATTATTGGAACATCGTTAACTAGCATTCTGCTTTCACGTTTATTCGTTATAAATGCTTCAGCAATACTCCCATCGCTTAGATAAATCGCACTACCGCCATCGGAATAGTAAGGTTCTTGTAAGGCCGACGCTAACATGTTGACTCCCTTTGATTTAGCATAGCCATGCTGAATACTTAATCCTAGAATAATTAGCTTTAATTTGTTCAAGCACGTTCAAGTCACACCTTGCAGAAAGGGGGTTTCTGAATACCAAGCCGTTGGAAATATAACGTCGGTCACCTCAGGATTTGACAATACTTCCATTGCAGGGTATCGGAACAGCAAATCAAAGCAAGTAAAAATACCAAACGTTACGTTGAAATCTGTTACAAAAGTAACTATTTTCCTGCCTGCCTTTAGAAACGGCTCTTGCGACAGGTTTATTTTTCGAAATCTACAAATACACTAAAAACCTGTTTATGGCTCTGTACATACTCCTACTTTGCTATAACTGCTCCAGATCTATCGAACACCACATTAGTATTATGAAAGTCTGTCTCCCCAGTGTCATTATTAAATTCCATTTCCGGCAGGTTCACCACTGTATAAATGGCATTAGCTCGCGCAGCACATGATAGATTTACTAAATGCTAAAAGAAACTACTTTAGTGGATCGTATGGTAGGTACATCGACATGCGTTACCTCTTTGCACATTTCGCATTTTAAATAATCGCATGGGGCGATGTTTTGGGTAGGATCAGGCACGTAAGTACCATATTTCGTTAATTCCGATGAATTTTTTTCTTCGGCAATATACATTGCATCTAGACCTACTATTCCATATTCGGGGAAAACTATTATGTCAGCATTCTGAAAGCATAAAACTGTTAATTATATAGGATAGTAATGGGCATGATGGTAGTGAAACTAATGATGATTATGGCGCACTCAAAATTATCTCAGAGAGTTTTTCGTATAAGTATCGCTGTGTGAAATGGCGTCACCTGAAACAAATCTTGGACATGAATAGAAAAATCTGAAATGAACACTCTATCTGGGTCGCACAAGGGATTCGAATAAACACACAATGCATTAATTGATAATGACAATAATTTATTCCGAAATACATGAAACAAAACTTGTTTGGACATATTCCATATTCCACCATAAGATACACTTCTTCGGCTTCAAATTAACCGGCAATGTCAATCTTCGAAGAAACGCGTCTAGCGTCCCCACTTACGTCGAAATAAGTCGCACATCGTAAAACACCTGCACCTTGTAACAACGACTAGAGCACAAATCTAAATAAACAACTTACAAGAGCGATAAAAACAAAAATTACGCAATTACAAACAATTCCAAAAAGGAAAAATAACACTGAGATAACAAATTCAAATACAGTAAATCAACTATGTGCTTATTTCGTAAATAATCCGCCAGATTTACATTTAATAAATTAAAATATTATCATATATAGGGTGTCTTGTTATTATATTTGGTGTGTTCACCGAAATATCGTCTACATGACGTTATTTACACCACAGTACTTATCGATTTTCGTATGACTTGGTCGAAACCTTGCCTTGATAGTGTAATGGGCTTCCTACTTTGTATCTAATTTTTGGTCTAATTGAACTGATTGATTAATTCCCGGATAGCGTTAAATGGAATGATGTTATACAACTAAAGACTCTTAGTGGAGAAACTGGTCGTTTCTCTTTTTTACTGGAAACTTATATTTCTCTGAATTTGGTTACTGCTTTTCTAATAATACTGATTTCAACGACTTTAAACTTCAATCCACAATCCAAGTCAAGTCATTTTTTCTTCGTATTATCTCGATTAATATCCTTGAACTAATAATAAGTTGAACCAATATAGACAACGAGCGACAAAGTTACTTCCGGGTGATGAGCTTTAACCAAAATTTCAATAGTTAGTCCCTTGACCATTGTCTATCTATACTGCAAACAGAATTGGAACATTTGAAACCGTTCACGAGTTATGAGGTACACAGATGAACGGACGGACAGAATCAATGAAATGTTCACAATAAGGACGTGAAAAATGAACAATACACTTTTTTAGCGCATTTTCCAACGATGTTGGGTGCGCTATTGCAGCCACTTTCTCTGTCCGTCCGTCTGTCCAAGGAATTAACTCCTACAGTTTTCAAGATATTTAGTTTGTTCTTTTTTTCAATTTATGGAAAATGCGCTGAAGTTACTCGCCTTAGGGCGAAAACCTTTATACTTGTTTAAACAATATCTCCCTAAGATGATTTTTTCGGACAATGATTCGGGAGTCGTCTTTTTTAGTGTCTATTATATAGCTACGCAACTGGTTATTCAGTCAAAGCGTCAGAACGCTATCAGATTTCACTGATAATTTAACTAACACTGTATAAAAGGAAAAAGTTTCTTCAAAGAGGACGGTACGAATTTATCCTTGAATTTGGCCAGCGTAATTGTACACGAGCGATACAATGAGTTCTATTATTTAGTCGGATTTAATTAATTGTTTTTTTTCGTGGGCACGAATAACGAATCACTCAAAGAAGAAAACTAAATGGTTAACAAAAAGGGGATCAATTCGTAGTTGGGTCAATAACAAAACAGGCTTCCGCCGAAAACAATGGAGCTATAATTGTTAAATGACTAATTACCAATCGGTTATATCTAAAACCAGTATGTAATCAAACGTTATATTAAGGAGTCGTCGAAAATAAAAATTATTTTAGAGCTCTAGTTGTAACGACCTTTTGAGCTCAGAAGAGCGATTTTTTCCCTTATCTCTAACAGATAACAACACAAACAAACAAACAAACAAGAATCAATAATTTGATTGACTTTACATTAGCAAAATTTTGACTCGCCAACGAATCGTCTGTACAGTCAGTTATAAACGTGACGTTAACTTTAAGAAAACTACTTTACGATGCACAAATACTATGAACAAATTCTTCGGAGTGACACAAATAACGTACACTTGAAATGTCTGTGGCCCTGCGTGATTGGTTTGTAAATCAATTTCAGACATACGGCTAAAACACTGTAACATCTATCAAGTGTGCAAAATCGATAAAATAACTTGTCTGAAATTGATTCACAAATTAAGTGTGGCTAAAAAATCGTAGATATCGGTTTCAAAAACTAATTTACAAGGCTCCATTGTCGTTGTTTGCTGTTTATGTATAGATAGGTTCCTATATTTTATTGTGACTATATTTAATTTAGTTTTGCATGTATAAACAAAATCATACAGTTGTCTAGTGTGTCCAGGAAAAATGGCAGGTTTTTAGGCAGAATTGAAAACCGGATTTGCCGAATCTTATCCTTTTTATTACGTAATAATCAACAAGTGACATTATAATATTATTATTATTATATTCTCTGCGCGGAAAAATTCAACTGTACGCAAGACCAAATTAAAGAAGGGGTAGGATTGTGCAGCAAGGGACAAACCGTGAACTCTAGCGACAAGAGAAAAAAGTAAGGTCAATGAAACCTATAACACTCTCTAGCGGCGAACCAAAGAACTAAGGTAATAACCAATTTAATACAGAACTAACATCTATTCTAAACGGATTACAAAGGAAATACATAGATGACGCAAGAATACTAAAATTAATAAAAATGTTTAAGCAGAAAAAAGCACGTTATAAATTAAAGATAAATCATTTTCGAATATAAAATTGTACATTTTGTTAACGTAATAGCGGGTGGATGCTAATGTTTTCCAAAGTGTTTAAAGAACTGCAAGGATTACAAAAAAGGTACTTCGTGTAAAAGAAATTCTTTTAAAGATTGCTTTTAAACACACTTATATACAGAAACGCTTATACTGGATCATTTTTTTAAATTAAAAAACCATCGAATAGGTCAGACATAACTAGAAAGATTTAGTTAACTTACAGGCGAGCGATTAGCCTCCATAAGCCCCGGAAATATTTGTTTACCGTTCCTCTGATTACAAATTCATCACACATGAATAATTTTCATACACGTACCGCAATTTATTATAAAGAGAAAACAATTTGAAAATCAAGGAGTCGGATTCCTTGGATACGCATGGGCCCCAAGCCATTTATCCCCGCGCGGATCTGCTGATTGCTATTCAGGAATAGATTGGAAATGAGTAGAAATGCATTTCTTATGGCCCCTTTAGATTTTCAAAGAAAATTGCATGATGCGTGGGCTACGTAAGAGCTAAAGGACTTTGGTGTTTACCTAGTGTCCGCGATAGGTAGATACTAATGGTGGTAAGTGGTCTAACCCATTATTTTCAGTACTTACAATAGGTTAATTAAAAGAGATTTATAATTAGAAACTGCATGTTTACAATGAACATCTGTCAAATTTCTCATTCATCTATTATGGTGAAAGCTGGAACATATGCCTCTAATTAACCTTGTGACAGTTTTTGTACCACAAATACACTTTTGAATAAATTTCAAAAAAGTAAATTTTTCATTCATGACAGGTAAAGATGTTCGATAAATAACTGGAATCAAAATACCTGACTGGATGCATTACGCATGAACTGTAGGTACTGGTCCACATTCTTCTTGAGCAAATCTTCAGGGTTGTCCTCATAAATGTGTAAGTAGTCAACAACCGCAGCGGTGTAGGAATTCTAAAATATTTATATTTTAACAGGTCATTAACAAAATCATTACATTAATTTAGATTCTCAGTCCTATTTTAAGATTAACGGAATGGGTTAGTAGATAAATGTTAATTAAAAATGTACATTTACCTACCCTGAAAGAGTAACATAAAGTGGCAGACGATAATGTAATTATAAATACAAAATAGTCACAACTGATCATCTTCGCGTTTAGTTATAAATTAAAGGTGTTTTTAATGCGTGTCTCCAAAAATATTTAACGTAGTGCGGAGAGGGGAAATTTACGCCTACTTGCGTAATATCCTAGGTATTGCCTACAAGTATGGGATATTTGATAAATGTTGTGGACCGTCACGGCCAACCTCTTTCCAAAAATTTGAAAATCCACGACAAAGAGAACACCAATGGAAACCCTAGAGAAAATAATAGACATGAAGCAATACGAACATATCAAACAAATAGCTATACCTATCGCAAAACTACTACAGAACTCCTGTGCCCGATTGAAGTGAACAACAATCCAACACGCTTCAATTAGCAACAATAGCAAAATTTTTTGGTACCATGTTCCACGCGCCTCTCAAACATATTTTATAAACCAGTTTATTTGCATTTATAGTATAGTATTAGTACAAAACGTATTTCCGCGTACTGAATACTAATTAATACACAAACAAATTACGCATTTATAATTTAATCTTTGAACCAATTATATTCGACGAAATTTATTGATAAGTGTCGTGGTGTTTACAATTGGAAACGTTGATACCAGACATTAAAGTAACCTTTTAAGCCGCCAATTAACAAAACTGTAGGCGATCAAAGCTCATGATCACCACAAGCAATTATGACTGTATACTTGTAACTTCAGATAGATCACTAGCAAACTGAATAGTACGAGTATGTAAATGAAATATAGCAGACTGGTACTGTAAGGGTTGTTATATGGCAACCCTGGACGTTCCAAACTTTAAGGAACAGTATGTAACCATGTCGTACGTGTACAATAGATATTTCAATTCTGTAATGGTCCTGTGGCTGTCCATAATCTTTTTTCTTATAAAGTTAGCTTTAACGACAGAAGAGGCACAAAAAACCAAGATCTAGAGAAAGATTGTATATTTATGGGACTTGCTTTCGAGACAGTTGGCCCATATCAAACTTTAAGAGCGAATATCTCGAAAACGTATTGTCAGAGGAAAGCACTCTCAAAGGCAAAATGAATCGATCGGACGAGACATACCTATTCGTGAGGTGGAAGCAAATACCCACACAACGAAGTATTGGAAGAGGATACTCATAAAAGGCAAGTGGAACGGCAGGACGAGATATATCTTGGCGATGTCAAAGCTTTCAGTGCAAATATCGGCAGAATGGAGTGTCTGAGGATTTTGAATGTATGCCAGGATCTTTTTATGGAAAGACCAAAATCTGTCGCACTTATGTGCAATTTTAACTTTTTAGCGCATTTTTTAAGAATTAAAAAAAATGAGCTATTGTTTGCGTTTTGTCGGTCCGTCTGTCCGTATGCGGTTTTGAACTATGTACTTTTAGAAGAATGATAATGATCCTAGAGTCCTGGAATTTTTTGCAATAGGTAGGCTATACCTACTTTGAAGGTGTGGCAGGCAGACATCACATTCGGTTATCTTACGCCCCCCCCCCTCCTCCAATGAATTATTTCCTTAGATGCTGTTTTTGAAAGTAAAACGTGCATACATAACTATTGCATGCGACAGTTAATTGATCTCGCATGCTTTTAGTCGTTCCAAATAAACTTTTAAAATGGGGGAGGCGGGCGGGAGGGCGGGCACGTTCCACCTTTCATGGTATTGTAGAAGGGTCTCATTGAAACGAATTGGTTTCTACTATAGGTTTCATGCGCGATTTCTTTTCGAGTGGGATAACGGATGAAGAGGGTGAGGGTGGGGGAAATTGATTTTATCGGAGGGGGGGGGCTGGTTTTATATCCTTCATGGTACTCTAATGAAAGGTCTCAACAAAAGAAATTGCGATCGGTTATAGTTCCTTATATTTCAAGAGCGGATTGTCGGAGGAGGGTACTCACAAAGGGCGGACTTTCATTGCAAATATCTGCAGAACGGAGTGGCGGAGGAGGTTATATTCTCAAGGGGTGAAAAGATCTTTTAGACGAGACACCTCTACTGTCCATGCGAAAACTTAATTGTGAATATCTCGAAAATGTTGGAGGAAGGCAAGTACAAAGAGAAAATGCAATATTTCTAAGAATTTCTCTAAGGTCGTGATTCTTCTTGCATTATACAGGGTCATTCTTGACGAGCGTCAGTTAGAAAGATATGGAAAACCTTTGAAAATGAATATAAACTGATAAGTTCTTTAAGGGTTTTGGCACATGATGAATTGAACTAAAATATTTTCAAAATGGCACCACTTCCGGAAATACCGGAAGTAGCCATCAACTTTGTTATTTTAAATAGGGACCCCCTATTTTTTCTACATTTTCGGATTCTACGTCGAATTTGGAGTACAACGATACCCCATAGTTGACTCTTTGCTCCAAGGGCTTCGCCGATATTCAAGTTTTTGTGTCAAAAATTGAATTTGCAGGGGTAACTTTAAAAATTTATTATTCGAAAACGGTGAGAGATATTGCAAAACAGTTTTCAATGCTTTATTAAGGAAAGATCAAATTTTCTTATGGTATGCGTAACCGTCTAAAAAAGTGAGACTACGTCACTTTTTCAAAGCTCTCAACTTTTAAACTTTTAAACATCCGTAACTCCATTTTTTCAAATGGCACCCCCCATTTTGTTCTTCACCCTTGTTTTCCTTTTTCCCAGACCTTTAATTTGATGCAAAATTTCAAAAGCTGCTTCAAACGGTTTCCGAGATATTCCATGTTTTAGTTACTTCTTGTGGAAAGTTGATAAAAAAATTAAATCGCTTGATGTTATTCTTTTGTTTTTATTATGATATGTTTAAACGTCAAATTTTCGCTGCTTTTCCTGGCAGCTATTCGATTACATTCACCGTGTATTAATATTAAATTCAAAAAATCTTCATTAGTGTAACCCAAACAAGCCATTATTGACGAGAAGTATAAGTTCAAGCAGCGAAAATTTGACGTTTAAACATTATCATAATAAAAACAAAAGAATAACATCAAGCGATTTAATTTTTTTATCAACTTTCCACAAGAAGTAACTAAAACATGGAATATCTCGGAAACCGTTTGAAGCAGCTTTTGAAATTTTGCATCAAATTAAAGGTCTGGGAAAAAGGAAAACAAGGGTGAAGAACAAAATGGGGGGTGCCATTTGAAAAAATGGAGTTACGGATATTTAAAAGTTTAAAAGTTGAGAGCTTTGAAAAAGTGACGTAGTCTCACTTTTTTAGACTGTTACGCATACCATAAGAAAATTCGATCTTTCCTTAATAAAGCATTGAAAACTGTTTTGCAATATCTCTCACCGTTTTCGAATAATAAATTTTTAAAGTTACCCCTGCAAATTCAATTTTTGACACAAAAACTTGAATATCGGCGAAGCCCTTGGAGCAAAGGGTCAACTATGGGTATCGTTGTACTCCAAATTCGACGTAGAATCCGAAAATGTAGAAAAAATAGGGGGTCCCTATTTAAAATAACAAAGTTGATGGCTACTTCCGGTATTTCCGGAAGTGGTGCCATTTTGAAAATATGTTAGTTCAATTGAACATGTGCCAAAACCCTTAAAGGGCTTATCAGTTGAGCTTAATTTTCAAAGGTTTTCCATATCTTTCTAACTGACGCTCGTCAAGACTGACCCTGTATAGCGTAGAGAATGTCTGCCAGGCGGCCCTTTAAATGTGTATGTGTAAAGATCCTTCTCATACTCTGCCAATAAGGTAGGTAATAGTTATTTACATAAAAGTCAGGAAAATGATACATTACTGGCGAGAAAATATTGAAGTGCGAGGCTCCTTTGAGGCCGAGTACTGTAATTTCCTAGTCAGGTAATAACATTTTACTGACGAGTTTTGTATTAAATTTTACCCGAAATCGTCTTTGAATATAAAATTTCAATTTTGATTAATGTCAATCTGTCAGTGATGACAGGAGTCATTATAGACATTTGGAAATGTCACAAATGCGGCCGGTACAGTGACGGTGCGGCCGGTAAAGTGACAGGTGCGGCCAGTAAAGTGACAAGCGGCAGGAAACTTAGTCTGCTCTGCCTCTGTCATGGAAACTAAAATTTCCTGACAGAAAGTAGGCATGAAAATGAAGGTTTCAAGACGATTTTGGGTAAATATAGCACCTTGTAACCCAACTATTTACTAAGCTACTTCGGTTGTTAAAAAATGGGCCTTATCTGCACAAGGGTTTTGCACAATTTATACTTGTTTAAAAATTTGCTAAATAGATGGCAATGTGGAGTAGACGAAAATTCTTGAAAAATTAAAAAAAAAACTTTAGTTAAACCTCCGTTTTCTTGTTTTTTTTTGCCGTAAATAATGTGTAACTCGAAAATCTTAAGACCTACGAGGATGCCGCCGCAACTTAGGGGAGTTAGGAGAATTAGAGAGTAGGTGTAGGTGCCTTCCTCCAACATTTTCGAGTTATTCATATTAAGTTTTCACATCGTCACTGGATCTTTTCACCCTCCTCCTTCGATACTCCGTTCTGCAGATATTTTCACTAAAGTACTCCCCTCCGACAATCGCCCTTTGTAAGTACGTTCCGCCGCTCTTGAAATACGAGTATAAGGAATTATAAACGACCACGATTAAGGGGTCGAGGAGGAGGACTATGATTGGTAGAAATTGATTCCTTCCGTTGAGACCTTTCATTAAAGTACCATGAAAGATTAGAACGGCTTTATAGCTCAGTGGTAGAGCGTTGGGCTACGAACCTGGGGGTCGGGTATTCGAACCTGGGCTGCGGTAGGAATTTTTCATCTGTGGCAGAAATGGGAATTTCCTTAGATCAGTTTCGAGCATTCTGCCGGCTACTCTGAATTAGGTTTTCCTGCAGTTTTCCTAATTCGTAAGGTAAATACCGGAGTAGTATAGAACAACTTCTGCAGGGGCACCTCTAAAATGCATTATACGGGTCACTCTGTAATTGGGCGTAAGCCTATTGGGGGTCTAGAACAAGAGGGACAATAAATAAATAAAGGAGATGTGCGCGAATTTTAGATTGCAATTAACAAAACAATTGCGCACTATTAAATAAGTACCGTATCGACCGTATCCGCAACTGTTTCTTAACCTACTGGTTGCGGCCGAGTGAGTACTGGATTTGACACCACTGTCTTTTCTGGTTGAACGAAACTGGTAACTTTATACCCATATACAAAATTGTAGGTATTGTATTTTCAATGTTAAAAAAAGCGGCCGTTCGAGGGGCCCGAACCCGCTTCTTCATATAATTGAAAGGTATAAATTAAACATTACATATCTCTTATTAAGCGACAAAGTAATACATAAAATTAACAATAATCTTAAATTCATTCTTCAAAATTAAATACGCCTTTCAGACACGTCGACGATTTTAATGCCATATTTCCTTTCAAATTGACCACTGCGCTTTAAGCAGTTGTGAGCCAGGCGAGCGGGCCGAGCTTGCATTCGGTTGCCGAGCGTTAGCCTAACGACCACAGAATATAGAAGTGTATTAATAATAATAATGTATTCCCTACTTCTGTACAAACTAGTAAAGTAATATTATACATACTTCTATAAATTATAAAATTGAACAGAAGAAACCTATCCCGGTGTTGGGAAGAAAGAGTGTTTATACATTAACTAAATTATTTTCTTAATATTCATCACATAGGAATTTCCTATGTCTACTTTTAAATGATAAAAAGTCTTCTGAAGGACGCCTAGCTTTATGCAACCAAAATAACTACGTACAACAAATGAAGATCTGCCTTTCATATTAATTAATTTGAATATTATCGCTTTGACTTCTAATTGTCATTCGTGTGCGATGTATTCAACTAAAGAAAAAGTTGATATTTCCAATTCTTATAATAGTGCCGGTAACAGTTAAAGGAGCTTAAGAGTTTCTGTGAAGCCAAAGCAACAATATTCAAATTAATAAACCGATACAACGAAATATCGAAGCATCATCAGTATTACAATCACTTTTAACGACAATTTATTTCAATCTTACAAAGTACATTTTATAGTTAACAAAAATGTATCAAATTCATGTCTTGGGCATTGAGATAATGCTCTTAATCTTGTTCACAATGTTCTTGGTGCAAGAATAACGATTTTGACATGTTTTGATCAAAATCCACGTGGTCGTCAAAAATGCATCAAATTCATATCTTGGGCATTGGTATAATGCTCCTAGTCTACGTTTTTGTTATGCCTAAGCTGAGTAAAAATCGTAGGGATTTCCGGATTCTTCAAATTTTGCAAAATATGAAGAATAAAGAATACAAAAAGTCTGTAATTTTCGACTTTTATAAGATCGATTAAGAGGGTCTATAGCTATACAGCGTTCAAAATCGACCCAGGAAACCCTCAAATGGGAGGCCAACATCACTTAATAAATTGACATAATCTAATCTGAAATTGTTAACGCGAGAATAAATTATTTGACTAACGTAAGCAAATGTTCTATGATTGCCGTGCACCAGCGTTTGAATCAAAAAACAATGATAGAGAAATTCAAATTTAATAATGTTATAATTATAGAATATTGCGTCGGGCGAAGTGAATGCCCCTCTCCAAATCAACCTTAAATATTTTTAGCGAGACGCTTTTTGTGCCGTTTAAATTCGTAGTGGGTAACGTGCGAAAATATGGCCGGTTTTAGTTGTTTTGTATTTATCGTATTCATTAGCCGATGCTACAGTTTAAGGGTAAATATTGTTATATACTTCACACTTTAGGATTTCAAACTAAAATGCTCTTTAAATAGAATTGGCGATCTAATTTAAACTCATCAGACATTACTGACCTCATTTTTATAATTTTTGAAAATGTTAACGATTTCCTTTTACGTAATTTAATTCAATTTACGCGCGGATATTTGCTTGTTAATATCTAATTAAATGATATGTTTTAGAGTTCTTATACCGCCGCAGTCGTCAATTATTTACACATATACGCCGATTATCCCAAAGAATTATTTAAGGAAAATGTGGAACAGTACGTTAATTTGATGCGAAACGCTTCCAGAGAGGTATCTATCAATTTTTTTGAACTATAAATGCAATTAACATTTAACGTTAACCAGATCAAAGGTGGCCTAGGTTAAACTGTACTTAACCCTTGGATTTTGTGTTCATTTCCTTGCGAATAAAATGCTACCATGAGAGGAGCCATGCACCTGGGCTTCCATAGACATAAATAATGCCTTTAGCCATCGACCCCAAAATATGCAGAAAATAATTATGCAGAGCAATAGTCACATTAAATATTATTTTTGGAAGAACTAATTTTTTACTTGATCGCGACTTTACTGGTAAATCCACCGTTTCATTATGTCTTTGGATAAATATAATCATTGTGTAATAGAGAGTAGGGGTTTTTATTAGTTCAAAATAGTTTGTAAAAAAAATTCCTGTGGTAAACTTATTTATAATTAGCTGCTCCCCTATAAACAGCTGATTTATTTAAGGGAACTGGTCGTGGAAACCACGCATTTTTAACATAGGTAGGTATAGCATAAGCAGTTACAGGGATAATCGAACATTAAAGAACTTTGCTCTAGTATATAAGCAAATTGTGTATTAAGGTTTTTTGTGGAAAAATTTTTTATTTCATACTATCTAGTAATCGCCGCTTTCCCAGACTGATTTGAGTCTGGTAAATCGTATTTTACCAGACTGAAAATTTTTACCAGACTGGAAATGTTGCCCAGCAACATCAATTGACATCCATCTAAACCTATGTATTAATGTGTCAAACTACTGTCAGATCAAACAAATCAAGTGATCGACTTTTGCTTTCAATTGAACGCGTACACGTTCTAATCAAAAATTGTATGGCATTTTAATAGAAAAAAGAGCAGTATGAAATAAAATGTTTTACATTATTTGTATGTTAAATCAGTTAACGTTACTCGTTTCGAAATTCCTGCCTCAGCTACGCTTCGGCAGTAAACATCTCACTCGTTAACGTAAACCTTGATTTACCATACTCATATGTAAATAACTATTTACGCCAATCAACCGTATTAGTTTTCAATTTTTTGCATAATAAAGACCGAACATTGAAAAAATAAAACACGCATCTTTTTCAATAATCTGTGATGCCATGGAATTTTATAATACAAAAACTACGCCAATATCCGTCATGCCATGGAATGTCTGCTATGAAACAAATCAAATTCTATCAAAAAGTATTATATTTAGAACAGCGCATTCAACATAAAGAAAGACCAAATTACTAAAAGCGGTTTCCTAATATAACAATTTACAATAAATGTTCGAATCAACTGCAATACAGTAACCAAGTCGATCATAAAATCCATTTCGAACTGCTGCTAATTGATAACTGGATATCTTTTTTTTTTTAGAAAATTCCATAGCATGGCAGATTATTGAAAAAGATGCGGGTTTTATTTTACATTTTTCCGTCTGTATATGAAAAAAATTGAAAACTAATACGGTTCATTGGCGTAAAAAAAATTTTTCTACAAAAAACTTTAATACATTTTTGCTCTAAAGTAATTTGGGGAGCCAATAATCGCATGTTATGAATTTTACATTAAAATCCCTATGATGCGTTACGAACGTCACCATCCTGTATGTATAGACAATTTAGTTGGCTTTGCACCCTACCACTATAGTTAATTTTGAAGTCAAAATCGCAGAAAGTATTTAAATTTGAAAATTTTTACATTTTTATGCTGCATGGCTTAGTAGATATAGTTTGTACCGTCTTCTACGGCTTTCTTTACCAACATTCGACGTAGGCATTGGTCTATGTACTTATATTACCTATAGAAATTTAATTACTAATAACTATGATAAGAACTTCATCCGTCCTTCTCATCGCTGTTGAACACACACGCTTTTATGGACGAGCAACGGACGAACAGGTCGTCCAGAGTAGGTGGGCCACTTGATGAGACTGAATTGACCTAGGTATGACGGCAAATCGGTCCTCTGAGAGATGACTGTTGCCTTCAATGGGTAATTGACAAGCTTGGAGTAATTCCACGGGCATTGAACGTTCGGTATTTATTATCAGCATCAGACGATATTTTTCCTACTACTTCAAACCCGCTCTTTATTTCTAAATAGAAAGTCTTTCACCGTTTTTAATTAGCACTATATTCAACTTGGTATTTTATTTTTAGAAAATGTAACATCAGATTCTTAATCAGAGCACCCAAAAACCCACTACACCACCTTTCATTTAAGTACAAAATTTTGCGAAATTTTTATCACCATGCTGGATCCGCCATTTTGTTTATTAAAAATTTAACATCAGATTCTTAATTAGCGCGTCCAAAAACCTCGCTATACGGACTTTGTCTGCCATATTGCATCCGTCATTTTGTTTTTCAAAAATCTACCATCAGATTCTTACTCAGAGCGTCTAAAAACCTCACTACACCAACTTTCATTTGAAAACAACAATTTTTCTTAATTTTATCCGCCATATTGAATTCGCAATTTTGTTTCTTAAAAATTTAACATCAGATTCTTAATTGGCGGGTCCAAAAACCCCCACCATACCGACTTTCATTAAAAACCATTTTTCGTCATTTTTGCCCGCCATATTGGATCCGCCATTTGTTTTTCGGAAGCCTATCATCAGATTCGTAATCAGAGCACCCAAAAACCCAACTACATAAACTTTCATTTGAAAACAACAATTTTTCTTGATTACATCCGCCATACTGGATCCGCCATTATGTTTCTTAAAAATTTAACATCAAATTCTTAATTAGCGCGTCCAAAAACCTCACTATACGGACTTTCATTTGAAAATAACAAATTTTCGTCAATTTTGTCCGCCATATTGCATCCGTCATTTTGTTTTTTGAAAATCTACCATCAAATTCTGACTCTGACTGTTTCTTAATTTTATCCGCCATATTGAATTCGCAATTTTGTTTCTTAAAAATTTAACATCAGATTCTTAATTGGCGGGTTCCAAAAACCCCCACCATACCGACTTTTATTAAAAAAATTTCGTAATTTTTGTCCGCTATATTGGATCCGCCATTTTGTTTTTCGGAAGCCTACCATCAGATTCGTAATCAGAGCACCCAAAACCCCAACTACATAAACGTTCATTTGAAAACGACAATTTTTCTTGATTTCATCCGCCATATTGGATCCGCCATTTTGTTTTTTGAAAATCCAACATCAGATTCTTAATCAGCGCACCCAAAAATCCCGATATATACAGTTTTAGAAAAATCGCTAAATACCTTCATTTTTTGTCCAGCTTTTTGGGATTGGGAACCACTGTGCGACCGACGGCCAAAAACAGAATCTCGAAAAACTTCTACCTGTCTATCCTAATTAATTAGCGCTCCAAAATGGCGCTTTAGTAATGAAATCGGCCATTTGTTCTGATTCGTTTAATATCTACCAATTAGGTTTAGTTCTAGAGTCATCTCACAAACTCCATGTTAATTAGTGTTCGATATTAAACAAACATAACTTTGCATTTCTTCTTCGAACTGCAAGAACTAACATTTGGTGACGAAGATTAGTGAGTAAAGTAAATTTTATATAGGAACGCACAAGAAATAACAACAGTAACTTAAACCATCCATAAAACGATAAAAGAAAACTACATTAGATCTTCCAAAAAGAAATAAGGACTTTTGTAATTACACCCAATTTATAATGATCGGTTTCTTTTAGGCAGTGGGAGCCTAATCGGAACTTTCGGTGCGCTTATAAAGTTACTATGTTTTTGGGAAAGGACTTAAAAAGTTCTGGGAACGCCATACAAGGCTAAAAGCTCAATCGCAATTGAATTTAGAATAAAAACAGCTTTAAGAATATGATAAGGGAATGCCAGAATCGTATTTAAAAAATGAAGTTGGTGATAGTTCAGCAAAGACGAAAGTTTGATTCAAACTCCACTTCAAAGAGCACTAAAAGATGCTGTGAAGCAGGGGTTTGTTCTAGGTCAAAGATTAAAATCCGATTTTTTCAAAATATTTCAAAAACCAAAAAAATTCTCAGGTATTTCTGCACGTTATCTTCTTAGACACTTGATTGCGCAACTTTTCTCTCATTTAACCAACTTCTTGTATCTCTTACCCTTATCTCGGACACAGTGTATCTATGTATAGAGACTAGTAGCATGTACTTCGCATAATTTAGTGATGTGTTCCAATAATTATAGCATAGTTTTAAAAACATCCAGATACACACTTACACGCAGTATTTATCTTTGTAGTACGCTGATATTATAGTTTTCCCAGAATATGGATTGGTCGACTTGTACACGATATACTCGGCGGTAGATAAAAATATTACGGAATTGGAAAAATACAGTTCTTATATACCTGAACCGTCGGAAAAAGTCGTTCCTTGCGAAGATTCAAAGTACCAAAAGTATGAGCAGGTACACGGACGGTTAGGGTGATGCTGTTTTTCGAGAGCTGAACGTATATGTTTTCAGCAATTGGTGGAGATTTCTTGTGCGGCACGTATTCACGCCATTTACACTGTAATTAATCTTCCAGAAAAGGCGATTAATAAGGATACTGGTGAAATGGAGTTTTATAACACGAATGCCATTTTGGATAAATCGGGAACTGTGATAGCAAAGTAGGTAACTATTTCGTATCTAGGTACTGTATCCAGTTACGTTGTAGATTTCGTAAAATAAACCTCTCGGAAGAACCTTTTTTTGAACCTGGCACAGAGATAGTTACTTTTACGACAGATTTTAATGTAACGTTTGGCATATTCACGTGCTTTGATTTACTTTTTCAGTATCCGGCACTAGATATATTGTCCGGTACGAATGTCACCGACATCATCTTTCCAACAGCTTGGTATTCCAAAACGCCATTCATACAGGGTAAGAAAGTACATTTTTTCTGAGTGTAAGGAACTGCGACATACACCAATCCATTAGGATCTCGCGTTACATTTTGTAGTGGCTGGAACAGAAGTTACCACCATTCGAAAACGAAAATTGCTGTTTTTGTACAGTCGGAAATATCAACGATTAACAGCATCCTGAACTTATTACCAACGGAATTTGCGATAGTAAAGTACTGGACTTAATAGTTTAGTCAGTAGTACACCGTTCCGTGACATTTATAACACAAGCACGAATTATTTAATATTTATCACTTTGACATTGATGCTGAGACTAAGGTTAAACAAGTTGTTTATGAGAAACACTCGCTTTCATTGCTTATCGCCGATGACTTATCTTTTATCGACGCGATGGCGCTTCAAAAATGTTCTATAAAGACCGTTACAATCGTTTCGTTGGTATTTCCGTGCAAAAAAAAACTACCCAATATCTTTCGTCTTGGCCACTGCAAAATGTCGTAACTTTTTTTTACCCTAACAAAATAATTGTAGGATTGAGCATTCAGCACGGATATGCCAAATCGAAAGGTGTAAATATGTTAGTTTCTGCATTACAAGAACCTGACAATTCGGACGGAGGTAGCGCCATTTACCTGAGCGATGGCAGTATCGCCGAAGCATTTATTACAAATAAGCGCGAAAGCAGAGTATTGATTCATGATGTGCCTATAGTTAAGACACGAGCGCCTAGTACATGCGAGGTAAAAATTCAGCGCAAATACTAATTGCACATGATGACTTTACAGACATTCAATAAAACAATTAAGAAATCCTCACAGAAGGAGGAATTTAGAGATATCGACAATTTTCCATTAAAGCGAGATACTACAACTGGTTATATTTACGAATCGCTTGGGAAACGTGGAAAGACATTGACACGTGTTTGTACAGATAACGAAGACTTCTGCTGCATTTTCAATATAACCGTGGATAATTCTTCAGTTCCAAAACCAGACTATGGACACAGGTTAGATGGTCTAAAGCTAATAAATAAGTACACGAAATTTATTACAGAATAACAATTTACAAAGGGCTCACCTCTTATGGAAGTAAAATTCTCGGTGGCATTAGAGTGTGTGCCCTAGTTGCTTGCCTGAACGAAACGGAAGAGTCCTGCGGATTTAGAACTAATACATCACACAAATCAGCCAAATTTAAAAGTATCGAAATACAAGCGGTCGTCGACATAACTAACGATACCCACAATCAACCTTCCACACTGAAAGCGGATTTAACGCCCGTTTCAGATTACGTTTATTGTGAAACAATGATTAGCGAATCGAAAATGAAGATCAAAATGGCGATAACATCTCCTCAAGACTCTCTCGTCACATTTGGCATATATGGCAGAATGTATGGCCTGGATGCACTTCAGGAGGATATAGCAGCTGCGACTGCGCTCCCGGTAGAGAAAGGAGTGTTAAATGTAGGTATTATTATAGCCATAGTTTGTGTTAGTACTTTACTTTTAGTTGTGACCGCTGTAATATTATGGAAGTTTTGTACAAAATTTGATTAAAAATATTTTTATACTATTGGTCCATTCAATTTCAGTGTCTGTTCTCTCTGTTTTAGCATTTTTAGTTTAAATAGTTTGCGATTTTGGACATTAACGCAAAATGGATTGCGGTGTACAGGTATGAACTACTCCTTCAAATGTTTCGAGGGGTTGTACAGCGTAAGAAAAAGATTGCAAACCGAAATAGATACGAAAAAATGTATAGAAGATAAATTGTAGATGTTTGTTTTCCAGAAAAAAAAAATGGAAAAATTTGTAAGATATAATTTTCAGGTATTTATAGGTATACATAACTTATATCGTGGGAATAAAATATTGGATATGGTTTGTAACGCGGTTTCTCCTTGATTGTTTCTTCGATGATCCAATTGAAGTTGGCTTCTCAGATGTGCTCTGCAATCTGCACGGACCGGTCACAGAATCCGCTGGTTATGTTCCGTCGAGTTCAAGTATCTTTGTTTACTTCTTGCTGTTTACACTTTTATACGTACCACAGTTTATCTACCGTCATTCATTTGCGCCTATTGTACTGTACAGATTTGTATACAGTGTGTCGGAGCTAGAACGCACCATAGAGATACGGCAATTTATTTTGCGCGACGAATTCACGAGGCCTTTGAAAATGGAATTCAACGTACTACTCTAATCTCTTTCTAGCAATAACGTACTTTGAACGCTTCAATTGAACTTCAAATAGGTAATATAAAAGGCATCGTGGATCCTTCGCAAAATAATACATTAATTCTGTTTGCGTATGGTGCGTTCAACCTGGGACACACACAATGTTAGCGCAACATTTTCACCAGCTTTTGTTAGTTCGATCTCAGTACTGAACAGACGTATTTAATGACTCCTCCCCTCTCCTTTCATTTTAATTACAATGCCTCACTTCATTTACCTCATTCCGAATATACATACGTAAGGCAGTTTTTACTATCTTATTCTATTTATATCTGAAATAAAATTGCATTTCTAACCGCGTTTATTACTCTGTATTGCTAATTCCTTACAGTTACATAAAATACCAACTTTTAGATCACAATAAATAAAACAATTAATTTCCTTGCAGAAAAAACACCTATTCTAACCGTATTAGTAAGTTATTTTATATTATAGTACATGTTAAATTGACATTTTAATAGGTTTGAATGAGCAGGATAAGGGTAGATAAAGTACAACAAATCATTGTGCATTGCAATGACATGTCATTCTTATTAAAAATGGGACGCAGAGCACGATATAAAATGAAGATCAGAACAGAATACAATATTGTTTCTATGGAAACGACGGAAGAACCTAAGCTTGTTGCTTTGGACTTGTAATGTTACAGTATTTTCTAATTCTATTTAATAAGTTTTTTACTTCAATCAAATTTTTGATGACTTATTTAAACCAAACGACCTTTAATTTTACATAAATGGAAAAAAAGGCACGTCATACAAGACTGCCCTTCTGCAGGTCACGATGTTGATACAAAATTAGGCTGGGGACAATTCCCCTTACAGCGACAATGATTCGGTAAAAATAGGCAACGGAACTGTAGACTTGGAACCTTGCGGACGGTGAATTTTTAAATAACTCAATTGTTCTATGTCTATTGTTAAATCCCGGTAGTTTTTTGGATCGCGAGCGTGCAAGTTTTATCAAATTTCCAAATTTTTCTGATATTAATGCAATAGGAAGAAATTTCGCTAAGAAACAGTTTTACACCTTGAATTTTTACTATTGTTTCTTTTACTGCGATTACTATAATTATTTTACGATTCCGACGACAGGATTCAACCACCTTCTTTGGTTTCCTGGGCAACAAACCGCTATACTGAATTGCTTCTTTGCCTTATGGTAGATAAAATTGTACAAGCGCGCTTAATTAGTTTGTCCTTAGTCGAGGACGGCTATTTTTAGCTCCCTACGGAGGAATTTTTAGTCGACGTTAACCATTTATTACCTACATACTCTTAATTTCGCTATAATCCGTATTGTGTATTAATTCATTTTGAAGTTTTTTTTTTCTCTTTGAACTGTAACTAGCGGAACTTGCGCTTTCCATTTTTTTGTTACGATAAAACCCAAAATACCCCTATTCACTACCGGATTTCTTTTTATGCTCGAATTAAGATTTTATCTTGTTGTCCAAGCAAGAATTTGTCCAACAAAATTCTTCCTCTATCCCCTTCTCAATTTATTTTAACTAATTAACTCCTGCGACATGACGACTTATTAACGGAGACGGACATCTTTAATCGTTTATTCGCTTCTTTCGTTCCCGCTACCGAATGATCTCATACCGAATTCGCAGTTGTAACCAAATAGACCTAATTAAGATAACTGAATATGATCCAAATTTCCGACATCGAAGCTAATCTATTTTAATCTCCTGACATCCGCAATCCATTAAAAGAGCAATGACGCAGAAAAGACGGGTTTCTTTTCCACTACTGCTCGCTTATTTATTTTTACAATTCCACTATCAAATCTCCGAACTTTACTTTTGGCTATACATTCATTTGAACCAAATATTTTTGGGATTCTTATTTTTTCCAGATTTTTACTAAATTAAAGAGTTTCTTTTTAGTGCATATTTTATTTTTGAACTCCAGACTGAGTGTGTCTCTACTGCCCAAATATAATGATGCCGATTTAATCTACTGCGAAACGAAAATTAGTTCAATTTTTGACGTTTGTCATTCCTTCACTTTTAGGTAAGCTGTACTGTATTCCAAATACAAAAATAGTCACCAATGCGCTAACAGCGTCAACCAGTAGATTATACGACACAAAATTGTTTCCAGAATCGTCAAATGGCGACTTTCTGTGAATCGTGTGCAGCAACATTGACTTGACATCTTCCCTAAGACGCGTCTTGTTTTTCGAGTTGCGATAACATCTATATACGATGGTTTTCATTTTTCCACTCTGCAGTTTGAGAAATTAATAAAAGCCGGTAGATATTTACCTCAAAACCTCATCAATGGTCCAATTATTTGCTTGCACAAGTATGTACGTGGTAGATAGTGTACTGATAACCCCAAAAATATTCAGAACCATTTTGCGGTTGTGTGCTACAGTGTGATTATTTAGGATTTCGTACCAAATTAGACATTCGTGCAAAACCACGGTGAATGCCCAACACAAATGAGCTGATTGGACATACTTGGAAGAGTTTCTTAAACTTGCGCAGGTGGCTAAGATTTTTTCGTATATTGGACGAATACACCTGAAATACCTACAGATTTATCTCCATCTTTAACCCCTCGTTCAAGATTACAAACTTTATTACATCTTGTCCGTGTATGGACATTGGTGATTGGACGTTGGTGGTGTACGGTACGTCTGCAAAACCTTCATGAGAAGTATTTATCCTAAGTCTGTTGCACTTGCCAACATTTAAAACATTTTCTGCACCCAAATTTTCCATAATTTTGTTTAGAGCGGCAAACCGTTCTTGTAATACAAGCGTTGTCCACGATGTAGACACGACTTTGTAAATAGAAAAGACGGACGGAATAAAATAAGTAATTATGGCGAAATCTGCACCGCAACCATCGTAACAAGCAATCAGGTAAAGTACAGTAAGGATGGAACTGTATAAAATCGTTATTAAAACTAATCGCTTTCTTGTTGTACCTTCGCCAATTGTAATGAATCTCTTCAGTGTTTCATCAATGTCCAGTATACCATTGTAAACTTCCACTTGGGCGTCTTGATGTGTATAAGTTACTATCAAGTAAATTACGATTGTAAACTCCACAGTCACCATTTTGATCCAAAAGGCAATTTGGGAAACTTGCAATAAAATATTTGTCGACGTTGGTAAGACCATATAAACCAACGAAGTAGAGAAAATTACACCAATTAAAATTCGTATTTTGGCCATTATTCCGAAATTACTTTGGAATATTTGTGCATTTTCATTAAACGTGCAAAATTCTATGTTTAAGTGTTGTCCAATAGCAATTAATATGCTTATTTCTTTTAAGATAGTCATTATGGACAACGGATATAAAAATTTCTCGTCTGATATGGTCAACTTTGAATAAAAGTACACTGTATTCATGAATATTTCATTATCATCATTTCTATCATTATTGACTTAATGCAATAATCAATGAAAAATTTATGAATGTTACCATCATTACGTTCACACTGAGTGGAAAATGAACATTTAATTATTAACTACGTACGTATTGAATATTGAATTGTAAGCGGCCCTTTTTTGCCTAGAGATTGAATGTATGCACCTGTAATTTATACAACCTAAATGCTAGCATATGACGATGAAAAGATAGTGATGTCATTTATTTGCCATTAATACCAAACAACAATGCTTAAAAAAAGAGTTTTAAGTGTTTTGTTTTTGCAGTTTCTTTGTAACGAAGTACCCGTTTTCCGCCTTGAAGTTCATACCCGAAGTTATAACCGCACCCCATTTTTGTAAGGTCGAACATCTTTACTGAACATCCGGTGTCTTAGTATCTAGAAGCGTTTTAAGTTGGGTGCTTCCGTTACTGAGTAATTTCTGAAATTGTTTATCAGGTCTAGGAGACGAGGAATGAGCTTGGTGTGTTTTTATTTTGTAATATAACTAAGTAATTCTCTTTTTCGTAGAGTTTATCTATCTTTACCATTAGGTAGTCGAGGTAATCACTACACAGATAAAATTATCCTCTTTCTAAAACTAGTTAAACAAATACTTTCGTCTTTAAAAAGAGTGGAGAGAATGTCATTTTCCTCTCTAGTGAGGAAAGTAAAAAACAAATGACATTTAAAATTGAAACATTATTTTGTATCTAGATTGCTATGTGTCAAACTTTATTATTGCATAAATTTTTCAATTTGTAGTTTCAGAAAAAATGTGTAAAACTTGAGAAAAGGGTTTTTCAACTGTCATTCAATTGAAATTGACTTTGAACTCAAGTTGAAAAACTCCACTTTCTTCTCTAGTCTCAAATAAGTAACTATATTATCTGTGGTTGGTTTCTTTTTCAAATGCAAGCATGATGGGTTGCCTAATTATGAGGTGATATACATTTTGTTATTTGTATTGCATTAAAGGATAGTTGCTTAATAATCTATCTTTATTTTTGTTTGTAATATTATATTGAAAATTAGTTTTAACTACATAAATTCAATGAACAATGTCATATTTAATAGTCGGCAGTAGAAAAGAGATGTGCATGAGACGAGGTGGCCGAGTGGTTAAGGCGTTGGACTGCTAATCCAATGGGCTCTGCCCGCGTGGGTTCGAATCCCATCCTCGTCGGTTGTTTTTTTAATTTAAACTTTTTGGATAAATTTAAAACGGCAGTAGCTGTAGTAACTACTTTCATGTTGTAATGTAAAATTTCCACGAATGTGAAAAACTATAAATGCAAGAATGCAAATTTCACTACTGGCGTTGGCTCTTCATGCGCTCTTCTTTTGTACGCAATTATATGTAGGTATATGGAGGAATTTTCTTGTTCGAAAACGAAAAGTAACTTCATTCTAGCTCTTTTCAAACCAGTACTTTTTCAAAGAATTTCTTGGGGGGCAAATGCATTTAGAATAGATCAACGAACAAGATAAGAGTTACTTTGCCTGCTTGAAACGTCTTCAAGCTATTCGTGTTTTGTGGCTTAAGTGAACCAATTTTCCAGAACAGCACCTGTATTCAAAAATAAATAAACATACTTCGGCGTCGTAAGGTGCAACCTCATGTAAAATAGCAAGACTTCATGAAAATAGCTTTGAACAGGGACAACAGGTCTTTTAAAGATGCAGAAATGCACAAATGCATGAACAGGGAAAAAATCTCTATCAAATGAGCCGAATAAAAGTGTGCCTTGCTATTTTAAAAAAATCAATTGTTTTTCGTTATTCATGTGTTTTCTGAAATAAAAACAACTGAATTCCGCCTTATTATGTGAAATAAAATGTTAAACAACTTTCATATAGAAAAATATTGTACACAGTCGATATTTACCGAAATATATACTATATATTCTATACATAATGCGTACCTACCATGTATAATTATATTCATTATGCGTTAAATTATTATAATTAACTTTCCCCCCTTTAAATATCTTTTTAAATATTGATCACAGCGAAAAAGTGCATAGATTCTGTTGTGTAGAGAATTTGATGTAGATTACATAAGTATATAACAATAGTTTTTGCTTTTTTCAATATATGTGATTAATTAATTGACGTTTGTTAGTTTAAACTTGACAGTCTCAAATCGTGAATCATCGGATAACTTCGGACAGACTTGTTTTACCCTGAACCTCATATACCCTTTGATTACAGATTACATAATATATCCATTGTTACAGTGCCTCCCGTTCGTGATCACTTATTTTGTATGGAAAGCACAGAGCTAATAGCAGGACTCAATCCTGGCAATTTTTGTGATTTATAAATTATAATCAATTTGATTAAAGTTTGGTAAATGGGTAAAGCTAAATTGAAATTTAATCTGACAGTGTACTTGGCCATATTTTATTTGCAATTTGCAGTCCATGTATCGTATGGTCTAAAATGGTATAATCATATTCTAATAATTTTATTTTGTACTGCACTCATCAACCCACTCTTGTAGAAATGTATGAAAGTAAGAACACTTTGTTATCTGATTGTCATGAATTCTTAATGTTGCAGAAATGGTTGCCTAATCTTTAAATCGTTCAAACACATATCCTCAACAATAGTAACAAAGCTATGAACCCACTTTAAGCCTTTGACGCGTGTACAGACAGTGTAAATTCGCCTTAAGACAATAATTAACCACACTGAAGCAGCGGTTGTGTCTAAAAACCCGGTATCACAGCTGATTTGTGAAATTGGAGGGAACTTTGTGTTTGTGATCTGCTTAAAGATTTCTTGGTCTTTGAGTTTGTCACGGATAGCCCCACGAAAATGAATGTAAGTAAATAAATTGTATCTTCATTTAATTCGAAAAACTATTATAGAAAAAATCGAACCCGAGCAATAAAGAGAAACGCCAAAAACGTAAGGAGGAACAGCACAGGATAAAGTTGGCGATGCAAGTCGTAGACTGCGCAAATTCGCTAAACGATCCGTTAGAAAGCTTTCCCGTATTTCAGCGATTTTCGAAGAACGGTATTGACGCCACGCTGTACGTTAAACGCGTGACACATTTAGACAAAGACGTAAAGGACTGGATATACGACTTGACTAAGAGAAATATGAAGGAGAACTACGAAAGCTGTTCGTGGGGTTGGAATGATAAGAAGAAATATGAGGAACTAATGGACGAATCCGCTTGGTATTTAGTTTCACAATTAACAAATGGCAAATTGCTAGGATTTTCGCATTTCCGGTTTGATTTGGATGAGGGTATTGAAGTTCTGTATTGGTAATACTTATCGCGTGGTTATACTCGCATTTGTGAGATATAATTTTAGTTACGAATTGCAATTAGAACCTGAAGTGCAACGTAAAGGCCTAGGCAAATTTATGATGCAAATACTGGAGTTAGTGGCATTTACGAACACCATGAAGAAAGTCGTATTAACTGTATTAAAGAATAACGAACATAGCATATTTTTTAAGAATATTAAGTATGTATTGAATTGTACCTACATGTATCTATGAAATTGTTGTTTTGTAGTTATGTTGTAGATGAAACGTCGCCTATGGATTGTGATGAAGAAGAATATCCGTATGAGATACTAAGTAAGGCAAACAAACGGTTAATTACCACTGCTTAGTTCTAACGACTTTTCCATCTGTATGTGCAAATCACTTAATATGTCTACCATTAAGAAAAAAAATTTATTTCCTGTAGGTATGTCAATATGTGTAATTTTTGTGTAACAAGTCGCGGTTTGAAAGGTGTAATTTATTGTTGATGGATATTGACATGTGTGATGAATGACACTTTATTGTACTTACCTTCCCAACAATGAAATTAAGACATTAATATCACATGAAGTTTAAGTAATTTGTATATTTTACATACACGACACTGTGTATTTGAGCATTTGTTATGCAATAGTACATTTGCCATTGTGCGCTAAATACTTTCCATACCCTTGAATTATAGAAGGATTTAGAGCATAGTTTATAACTGCCTTTCGGTGCTCTCTATTCCCTTTTGAAGGCAGGGCCTGTAGTGTGCTGCCACCACTGTTATGTCAAGGCATTCTCAACAAAGGAAATGTCACATCATTAGCATTTTAAAGATTTCAAATAACATTAATAGTTATTTATTATACAAGACGATAAACGGACGGATGATTACAGTATAAGAAAGTTAAACACAAATGTACAGTTTTTATACCTACTTTGTTGTTTGTTATGGAAACGTGGTCATTTTTCAGCTGTATATCTAGATGTGGTTAGAATAGGTAGTTACAAAAAATTTAGCCAATGTATATCTACTATGGTTCCCCACTGGTTTAAAGCTTTTTATCATATATCAACATTTAGAGTACTCACACCAGGAGATTGGAGAGGGATTTTGCTGCTTCATCAGTCATCTGCATCTATTTTTCTTGATGTAACGAAGCATCTATTTTCCGCCTTAAAGTTTTAGTGATCACTCTGTATGTGAACACCCGGTATCTAGAAGCGTTTTAAGTTGGCGTTTCGTTGCAAAAGTATTGGTCTTAGGAGTTGAAGATATAGAAGGTAAAGGTAACTTTATTTTATTTCGTGCTCCGCGTCCCAAGAATGCACAATCATCGGTTTCACTTTATCTACACTTAAAAGGATGACTTAACCTACTCATTCAAACCTATTATAATGTCATTTAATCTGCTATAAATTAAGAAATTGTAATTACATGTGTAGAAATACATACAGCAGGACTTTTCATCAACTATTCACAAATAAAACCAATGCAGATTTTATTAACACAGGTCACATCTACTTTTTACTTAAGGTCAACCTACATCAGCACTTATAAGTAGGTACATAAGGGAAAGGGAAATGTATGAACAAAAAATAAAGTCCGAACAGTCTTCAATTTATTGATCAGTTATCACAATGAAGAACAAATGGCAAATTAGTTATCAATAACCCACAGTATGTTCACCCCAGACCTGCCTAAATTAATGCCGCCCAACATTCCATATTCGATTTCATTCACGCGATGCAAAAAAAATAAAATGGTATGGAATAGGTTATTATAACCCTAAAAATGTTATTCAGTAAGATCATTGCGAAAGATCTTGCATACAAACCTGAGCTATTTCGTAAACTTCTCCTCCTGCATGCACTCGAAAATGTGGGGGATTCTCACGACAATGCTGGATAGCAAATTTGACTCCAGAAGGAACTTCTTCGTTCAATTTAATGTAATAATGACCACTGAAGGGCTTTATTTCGGGATGATTCGGGACCGGCAATAGCTGTGTGTCCATGTATGTAATGAACAAATGCATCATTATCTGTAAGAGATACTGAAAATTGGTATCGCTGATTCCTAACAAACCTGACTATCAGATGGTAGAGTATTGTTCCATTCTTTATCATTAAATCTGCCACCTCCATTCCATTTAAAATCACTCATACAACCACCTCGGGCAAGTTGCCTTATTCGATTCACTAAATACTCTTGATTCGTTGTCACTTCTAAAAACGGTACCAGTATTGACAAATTGGGTAAAAATTGAAGAATCATATTAGACTGTGCCGTTTGGCGAAGGCGATCCAGACCAACGTACCCCATTTGTACATCAGACACTCCGTGTTTTTGTAAAGAACTATCGATTTCGTCCATTTCTTTTGATAAACAGTCTAGTATGTTTTGTGAAAGCCACTGAAACATAACGTTGGTTTGGAATAACAGGCGATTATAGTTACCTTTCGAATATTTGCGTTCCATTGTGTGAGTGTCTCGTTGTTTATATCATACCTTTTCCATGGATCGGATATGCAATTATCGGGGGATGAAATGAGTTTGCTATCGGACTGACTACTCAAATTCGCTGGTGGTAGTGAGGATAAATGATAACTACATTTTGTTAGAATAGGTGACCCTTCTAAGGCTTTTGACGAGGAATCGCTCCAAAATGTAGTTAATAAATTTGAGGATTGTTCATTTGAAAAATTTGCCTTGGGGGCTACGATATGGGTTTCATATCTCTTCAAATAATGATTTAAGGAGTTTTCATCTCTGATTAAGTTCGATTCTGAAGAGTTAAAAAATAATTTCGATGCGGAATTGTTCGGAGAGCTGCGGATAAAGTCGAGTGACGTATTTACATCTGTAAATTCAAACGGTTACAATAAATCAAATTTGATAAACTTACTAGTTGATGTCCAATGCCGAGCAGATCGGTCTATTGGTGTACTGGATGTCGGTAGTGTTTTACTAAAATGGGTGTGCTTAACTACATTATACGATGGAAAAGACAGGTCACCTACGAAGCTGTGGTTATAAATAGGTATGGCAAACATGACAACACTTACTTTCTCTTTCCCGCGATGAAGATAACTCAACTTTTTTACTTTCTATCTTGGACGTTTCATCAATAACACTTACATAACGCTTAATGTAACAAAGTAAATTTAATAAAAAAATTAGAAGTAATACACATTCTGCATACAAAATTGCCGGAACATAATTAGGAATCGTATTCCATCTAAAAACAATTTAATTGATCCAAAACCCAGAGTAGTACTACTTACATATGAAATGAGATTATTGCTACCAGAACTACATTAACAGAACCCCAAAATATGCAGTATTTCAACTTTTCGCAGTTAGAATTCACTACAACATCCTTTTTATATGGGAACTGTAATTTCGATGTGTTCAAATGCCTGAAAATTAACAATACTAAATTGGTGCCATGATTAAGTTAATTTTACCTTAGCTTTTGCATGATTTTGAAGAAATTTTATGAAAATATTTAAATTTACCGATTACCAAACATTTAAACTTTAGAGGTTAGCTTTTTTACTTGAAGTTGGCGGGTTTAAAACACGAGTTGAATATCTGTGGCTTTAGTACCATATAATATACAGGGTGCAACATTTCAGTAATCAAGTAAAAGAAATGCGTTGAAGGGGAGATCGAGGGTATTCTTGAATTTTTTTGTTTACATTAAGAAATGTTGAGGTAAATGTCGATTAATACTGATGCAGAACAAAATTTAGCATTTAAAATCGACAAGTAGGTTTATTGGATTGTAAAAAAGCAGGGGGTGAAGTGTTGCCGAGAGCAGCGCGATTAAAGTGGTTGTTAGACTTTGATGGCACGACAGCACCTCGTAAAACTTTTCCATAACAGGAGAAAGTGAAATGCAAGGACTAAAAAAGGAGGCTCGTTTCACGTTTGGGATGCTCTGATGCAGCAGGGTAAGACCAAGAAAAAAATGGGTGGATTCTGAGAGGGTTTAATAGTTTAATGGCATCAAGTCAAAGAAAGTTCAGTATAGAGTGCCCTCTAGACGCATAACCTGCTTACCTCAGGGCCACAGTGCTAAACGTTAGAACCTTTAAAGTATCATATTTCTTTGTGCCATTACTCGCGATTCAGATTAACACACAGTGAGAATATCGGTAAGTTGTTTTAAATTTGTATGAGTGCACTAGAATGATAAATTGTGATCTTTATTTGTAATTAGAAAAATAAGTTAATTGCGCGTTCAAGCTAATTCAAGCAAGACAGCCTCGAGTTCCTGTCTTTAAAACGGCAAGGTAAAAACAATTCGCTTTCAAATTAGGACAATTTCACTTAAAAACCTGCAAGAATAAATGTTTATAAACCGCTATTTGTAAATTAATTATTTTTCGATCTTACATAAGTCGACTTTCTATGAATTTTAGAGGCAGGACTAGAGCCTTAGCTACATTTTTTGGTACCTTGACGAGTAACGTTAAGGTGTATACGCAATGCAGTTTGTAGTATGAAAAAAGTGCCATGTATGACAATTGAAATTTATTTTGGTTTGATTTTAAAGGTTATGTTTTTTAGTTTTTAAGGTTAAGTAATTGGAAATGTTCTAAAGATGTTTAAGAGTAAAATTAAGAATATCAGTATTAAACTGATCAGACAGGTAATTATCAGTTCAGTCTATTTTTATGTGTAAATATTGTATCCATTGATTTCTAGTTTGCAGCAGTGAGACCAGTGGTTCAACTTGATTCCAGTATCCCTAGCGAAATTGACCATCTCAAATTTAAGCCGAAGCACCATCCGGGTCGAGTAACTCTAAAACCAGTCTCTATACCGAAGCATTTGTTAAAATCCATTGAAAATGTCTTATCAGGTATTAATAAATTAATAGTGGTAGGTAGGTTTAGATGCAGTGTTGTAGATTATCCAATAACATCTATGATTGAGGAAAGTAAATATTTGGATAGGTATTTGCAAGGTAGGCAGCGCCCACTTGAGGCATTTGAAATTAAAGATATGGAAAAGAAAATACGACAAGGCATAATTGACAACATTAACAAACAGAATATGACCGAGCAAGACATACAAAGCGTAAATGATGTGGTAAAAAAGAATTTATCACAACAGATGAATAACCGATGTAGCATACAGTATGGTATACATCACTCACTTCTATATTTATTAGCCCGTTTTGCACCTGAATATGCGGTATTACTACAAATATTCTCAGAAATTTGTACCAGGGATCCCAATTTCAAGCCTAGAAGTTTGTTTGATTTCGGTTCTGGTACGGGTACCGTCAGTTGGTTAGTTACGTTCGCAGGTCACATACAAGTTTTAATTTAAATTTCTAGGGCGGCAAAACACGTGTGGGACAAGGATATTTATGAATTTTTTAATGTAGACGCTTCACCAGAAATGAATGAGTTAGCACAACTTCTAATCCAAGGAGGCCGTCCTACTAATCAGTCTAATTTTAAGGGAATATTTTACAGGCAATTTTTACCTGCAAATCATGTAAGTGTACTTTATGACGATTACTTATTTGTGATTATATAATTTTAGATTGCGTACGATCTTATCGTATGTGCTTACACACTTTTAGATTTGCCTACGAGGAAATCTCGATTGCAAACATTACTAAATTTGTGGAATAAATCTGTTAAATACTTGGTCCTAGTAGAACGTGGTACAAGAGCCGGTTTTGAGGTATGCAATTCTATGTCCAACACGAATTACTTTTAAGGTTGTAGGTTATTAATGAGGCACGTGATTTTATACTGAATTTAAAAGATGGACACGATACATGCGTGTTTAGTCCTGTAATTTAATATACTAGTACAGTTTCAAATTAGTTTCGATTAATTTTTAGTGTCCGCACGATGCTGTGTGTCCTAAATTTTTAAACAATGATCGATGTCATTTTCAAGCTTCATATTATTCATTACCAATTGGATCTGTGTCGCAATCATGTAGAGAAAATTACGCTTACATTGTATTAAAAAAAGGTAATAATGTAGTAATGGTAAGGATGTCATATGAAGCTTGTATAATTATTCACGTCAACAGCAGTTAGAAGTGAGAGTGATACAAATTGGCCTCGTTTAATTGAAGCACCTTTGGTTCGATCAAGGCATGTTGTCTGTAGAATGTGTACAAACCAGGGAAATTTAAATGAAGTTGTCTTTACTTCAGCGAAGCACGGAAAGTTGAATGCAAAAGTAAATATGAAAATCTAAAACATTTACCATTTTAGAGTCACATATCGATGTGCCAAAGCTTCCAAATGGGGTGATCTGTTGCCCATTAATATCTTACCTGACGCCGTTGGGTAATGGCAAGATTTGCTGTCCTTACTGGTTCACAAATTATCTTTCACTCCTGTTGCAATATGTATCTTGTGGGAGATTTTGTTATTAATTTTCACACTGAATACGTGTTTTATTTACACAGCTACTGTTACATTAAGTTAGATGTGTAGCATCTCAATGAAAACAGGATTAAAGGGTCATATTTATTATGTCTCGGAAACGGCATGACAACACTAAAAATTAATACAATGTCACTTAAAAACCTGCTGTAAAAAGCCTATGCTTACAAAACGCTCCCACTCGCCATTTGTAAATTAGACCAAAGCCTCTAGTGTTAATCTGAGATGTTTTAAGAACCACTGTGTAAAAACGCCCTTAGGGTTGGTACTAAAGAAACGGATTCCTTCGCCTACGCCACTGTCGGAGAGAGCAGTTAATTGATTGAGGTTAGATAACACTTATTTAATAGCTTATTCTTTGGAGTATCAAAAATGCTTCGAAATTTTGCTGTTGCTCTTAACTCGGGCCTACGACATACCGTCGTACGTAATGCGATACATAAACCGACCGTCGTTATCGCAAATCGAACCATGTCCCATGGGAAAACCGAGACCGATCAAGAATTCGACGATAGGTACGAAAACTACTTTAACAGAAAAGATATCGATGGTTGGGAAGTGAGGAAGGGAATGAACGATTTATGCGGTATGGATTTAATTCCCGAGCCGAGAATAATTATAGCAGCTATGAAGGCGTGCAGACGTATTAACGACTATGCGCTGTGTGTTCGATTTTTAGAAGCACTTAAATTCAAGTGTGGTGGGAAAGTGAATGAAATCTACCCGTATATCCTAAGGGAAATTCAACCCACTTTAACTGAATTGGGAATAAGTACACCCGAAGAAATGGGATATGATAAACCTGAATTGTACTTGAAATCTGTGCATGATTAGTGCAGCTAAATATTTCGGTTAGATTCTTGTAACTATGTAATAAATAAAACTGATCATTGCTAGCCCAAATTTTGTTATTATTTGTTTTTAACATTCCAAAATTACTGGTTTCGCTCCATAGCCATGCGTACCTCTCTTAGTAATATTAATGCAAAGATAATGAAATAAGTACATATCCCTCGGTCTTTGTGGTTGTTGGAAGGAAATATAAGGTTCATTGAATCACTGGTGACGATTCTAATAAATAAAAGGCAGATGCGTTCTCTTTATTGCAATTTAACTTTCAGTTCCATTAGGTGGAAAAGATGGCTTGAATTTCCCGCAAAACAATTTTTTTTTAATGTTGGTATAGCTGATAATCTTTATCGAATTCCAGTGGCGTATCACTATAATTGCAAGTAATATTAAATCAAAACCTTTTAGGTGTAAAGGTTTTCTTCTATCTCTCTTTTCACAGTTTGTACCAACTGCTAACTAATGTTGCTATGAGAAATCCTTTTATTGTTTTGTTAAAATAGTTGTCTATGAACATGGTTCTTTCTCTTAAGGGGCGAAGGAGTATAATTTAGTATTCGGTGCACGAGAAATCCTCGTTAAATGGTTTGCAGAATCTTTTTGAACCTTTCTTTACTGAAATGTAGTCGTAACTTACAAATTTGATTAGACAATGTTTGAATTTTAACTAATATAATTTCTCAATTCTCTCCATGTGAACTCAAGTTCAGTGAATTTGGTACCTTAGTGTAAAACCAGCTTTAGTCAAGCAAGGTTGTGGCTCGTCTCATTAGCTGGACAAGAGACACAACAACCAAAACAAGAAAGTTAGGTTATCTTACCAAAATAAGTGTTTGTAAATAATGAATACTTCTACTAGCATAAATAGCCAAGACTTAAATATGATGCCCGCAAAGAAGTTTTTACTTCTAGAGGACTCAAATATAAATGTAAAAATTAACTTCTATAACAAGTATAACTTTTTTTGTACGAAATCGAATACACAATGCATAAAACTGGACATAACATTCACATTTGGACTGGACTTAAAGGTCGACATGAAATTAGTTTCGTCTATTGGAACAGTTAGTGTAAGTATGACTTTCATAAAATCACTTTAGTAACTATTTCTTATAGCAAATTGGAGATATTTCAAAGATGATCATTTGGGTGCAAGATGATGCGATTCGCAATGAAATTCGGAGTTGCACAAATTACTTGCAGAGACAAAAGAATTTAAACTTTGCCATCAGTATTCTTAAAAACATTGCTGTGACTATCGAAGAACGTAAATTAATATTACAAATGTTAATCCTACACTCTGACGGTTGCATACAATATAAAAATCACTTGGATGGAGGAGTTCTTATTGTATACCATACCGAGGATAAGAAATATTTTAAATCACATTGGAAAATACAGTTCATTTGTGCCACACACAGTGCGATTGATTGTATAGATTTTACAGTAACTCGGAAAGGTTTGTCATAATTTATTACGCAGCATTTAATTTGATACCTATATCGTTTTTAGATGTGTTATTTTATAAGGTCGTGAAAGGGGCCATGGATCACCTCGTTTCTCCTAATCTACCATTTAATGTTAAAGTGCAGCACTGGTGGACGGTAATGTTATTAATTCTTGACTTGACTAAATCTAACATAACATAATTGAAAAATTTGCTGTGCCTAACACAGGTACCACCCGCATCCACAATTCTGCCCTTTTATGTCTTAAGAATATGTGTACCAATGGGTTCCAATCGCTTCAGCCATTTAGTCGGAAATGGGAGCACAGACATCATTGAGAATCTGTTTGATTCGGATTTTTGGTGCTTCAAAAACGTGTATTTCCTTTAAAAAAAAGGGGGGTCATTTTTTACATGCGGGTGGTAAAAAACCAAATGTAAAATTCGTCTCTAATTGACATGACATTCTACACACACTCGCAATTGTCACTTATTTGTTAGTACATCACTGTTCTTTTATTTCCATACTCCTCGCATGTAACATGATCTTCGTTCTTTACTTCGACAGGTAATTGAAGCAGTTAAAATGACATGTGAGGTACCCGTTTTAGAGATTATAGATGGTGATATATGGGATCAACAGGATTTTACTTTAGTACGAAGTTTAACGTTGCTTTCAGCCGGAGTAAGTGAACAGTATGAGATTGTTGAAGATGAAGAGATATTAACTGTTTAAAGTTTTTGTTGCATTTATTTATATTTATTAAATAGTTGAATGGAAGTTATTTTAAAATGTGATACCTACATTCTGTAAATGTACAGTGTTAAACTAAATACAAAGTACTTATGTGTTTATTGTTTTAATCATATAGTATGGAAAAGCGAGGTTGATCTTGCGAAACAATACGCTGCGCTTCACTGAAGTGGTTTGCCTATTTAAATGAAAGCTACTAACTGCAACCCGATGGAGCTACTTAAGGAAATTTCCAAACAAATTCATAGGAATGTTTATATTGTACTCGTATATTAAAAGACTATAGCGACTAGGGCTGGCGATCTACCACTGAAACTGGTAGCTTTATCCCATAGTAAAAAACATTATGGAGGAGATTCCGAGTTTTCTTAAATTCTTACATTATATAAAAGTACTTCGCCTACATATCGAAACCAACATACCATCATTATATATAAGTAAGCTGTATATACAATGATACCATGCATCGTCACCAAACTTGTGAGATGTAGGGCAGAAAGTTTCAAAAAAAAAACCTTTAAAGTTTGCAAATGAAGGTGAAAAAAATCCTAGACAAGTTCTACAGCCCTGAAGGGGGGAGTCGACCGAAAGAGAAAACTGGGGATTATTCCATCATGTTTAATAAAAAAATGAAAAAACGCCCGAAGACGCCATACTTAACTATAAAAGCCGTCAATTAAATTGACTTACAAACGGCGATAGATTATAAGATTAAGAAGACAATCAAGCAGAGCTGGGCAGAATACTTTCAAAAAGTATTTGAATACTAAATAGTAAATACCTTACACAAATCAAAGGTATTTGAATACTAAATACTTTTACGTCCAGCACAAGCGAATACTAGATACAGATACATTGAAAAGTATTCAAATACTTAAAAAAATAAGTATTCAAATACTTTCAAAGGTATTCGAATACTATCAAACGTATTCGAATAAGCACTATATAAAAAGTATTCGAATACTTGTCACTCAAATACGCACCAAAATTAATAAGAAAAAGTGTTTTCTCGAGAAATTTTGGTGTAGTTGATTTTTGGTAAAAAAAGGAAGGTTATACACTGCCTTTTTTTGAGCCCCGAAGTAAAATTTGTCTCAGATCGACCCGGAAAAAATATTTTCTTATAGAATGTGGCCTGTAGAATCCATAATTTCAAGCAGTTCCAAGATTGGGCTACTAGTTCAAAAGTTACAGCCCTTTGAATTCTTTCTAGTCTATATAACTTTTGATTGAGAAGTCTGATCGAAAAAGTACGACTTCTTTTGGATTCTACGCACCAAAATTAATAAGAAAAAGTGTTTTCCCGAGAAATTTTGGTGTAGTTTATTTTTGGTAAAAAAGGAAGGTTATACACTGTCTTTTTTTGGAGCGCGAAAAAAAAATTGTCTCAGATCGACCCGGAAAAAAATTTCCTTATAGAATGTGACCTGTAGAATCCATAATTTCAAACAGTTTCAAGATTGGACTACTAGTTCAAAAGTTACAGTCCTTTGAATTTTCTTTCGAAATTGGTTTCTAGTTTATAACTTTTGATTGAGAATTCTAACCAAAAAAGTACGAATTGTTTTGGATTCTACGCACCAAAATTAATAAGAAAAAGTGTTTTTTCGAGAAATTTTGGTGTAGTCAATTTTTGGTAAAAAAGGAAGGTTATACACTGTCTTTTTTTGGGGCGCGAAAAAAAAATTGTCTCAGATCGACCCGGAAAAAAAATTTTCTTATAGAATGTGGCCTGTAGAATCCATAATTTCAAACAGTTCCAAGATTGGGCTAGTAGTTCAAAAGTTACAGCCCTTTGAATTTTCTTTCGAAATTGGTTTCTAGTCTATAACTTTTGATTGAGAAGTCTGATCGAAAAAGTACGAATTGTTTTCGATTCTACGCACCAAAATTAATAAGAAAAAGTGTTTTCTCGAGAAATTTTGGTGTAGTTGATTTTTGGTAAAAAAGGAAGGTTATACACTGCCTTTTTTTGGGGAGCGAAAAAAAAATTGTCTCAGATCGACCCGGAAAAAAAATTTTCTTACAGAATGTGGCCTGTAGAATCCATAATTTCAAACAGTTCCAAGATAGGGCTACTAGTTCAAAAGTTACAGCCCTTTGAATTTTCTTTCAAAATTGGTTTCTAGTCTTTTGATTGAGAAGTCTGATCGAAAAAGTACGAATTGTTTTGGATTCTACGCACCAAAATTAATAAGAAAAAGTGTTTTCCCGAGAAATTTTGGTGCAGTCGATTTTGGTAAAAAAGGAAGGTTATACACTGCCCTTTTTTGAGCCCCGAAAAAAAAATTGTCTCAGATCGACCCGGAAAAAAATTTTCTTATAGAATGTGGCCTGTAGAATCCATAATTTCAAAAAGTTCCAAGATTGGGCTACTAGTTCAAAAGTTACAGCCCTTTGAATTTTCTTTCGAAATTGGTTTCTAGTCTATAACTTTTGATTGAGAATTCTAATCGAAAAAGTACGAATTGTTTTGGATTCTACGCACCAAAATTAATAAGAAAAAGTGTTTTCCCGAGAAATTTTGGTGTAGTCGATTTTTGGTAAAAAAGGAAGGTTATACACTGCCTTTTTTTGGGCGCGAAAAAAAAATTGTCTCAGATCGACCCGGAAAAAAATTTTCTTATAGAATGTGGCCTGTAGAATCCATAATTTCAAACAGTTCCAAGATTGGGCTACTAGTTCAAAAGTTACAGCCCTTTGAATTTCTTTCGAAATTGGTTTCTAGTCTATAACCTTTTGATTGTGAAGTCTGATCGAAAAAGTACGAATTGATTTGGATTCTACGCACCAAATTAATAAGAAAAAGTGTTTTCCCGAGAAATTTTGGTGTAGTCGATTTTTGGTAAAAAAGGAAGGTTATACACTGCCTTTTTTTGAGGGCGAAGAAAAAATTGTCTCAGATCGACCCGGAAAATAATTTTCTTATAGAATGTGGCCTGTAGAATCCATAATTTCAAACAGTTCCAAGATTGGGCAACTAGTTCAAAAGTTACAGCCCTTTTAATTTCTTTCGAAATTTGTTTCTAGTCTATAACTTTTGATTGAGAATTCTAATCGAAAAAGTACGAATTGTTTTGGATTCTACGCACCAAAATTAATAAGAAAAAGTGTTTTCCCGAGAAATTTTGGTGCAGTCGATTTTTGGTAAAAAAGGGAAGGTAAAGTTATTCAAATACTATGCGAAGTTATTCGAATACTTCTCAAAGCCCTAGCGATTAATACGAACAATATCCTGATTTCTGTCATCCTCGCTGTCTTCTAAATCAAACATACTTTTCAGATTAGAAAGAAAGCTTCGTAGAACTGGTCCCCTGACTATGACAAATCGCAAAGTTCGTCAAATAAATGAAAATTTGGAAGCCTGACGTATTAGTATATTTTAATGCGCATCTGAGAAATTCAGTTGGAGAAACTGTACTAGAATTAAATGTAGGTGTCACATACGTAACCACATTTTCTAAATAAAATTTTATGGACAAATGAAAGCCACTTTTCCAATAATCTTATATGTAATAGGCACTTTTGTCACACTTCTGACATAAATCCACACGAAACACCTATTACTAATTTTCAAGTAAGTTTTTCAACCGTGTGTGTGCGAAATTGTTAATAATATTATTCTGGGTCAATATTTTTATTTAACTTCTCAAAGATATTTGATTTTTTTACAAAATTAAGTAAGTTTTTTTATGATATACCATTAGCAGATCGGCGAGGAATAATATTTCCACAAGATGGTGCACCTGCGCACAATTCAATAGATCGTAATAAACTATTTAAATCAAGAATGTCCAAATGTCAGGATTGGAAAAAGAGGACCTATAGTACGACCTGCAAGGTTTCCTGATCTATCGCCCTAATATTTCTTTCTGTGGGAAAAACAAAGTTTAACCAATGGTTTAACATATAAAATAAGACAAACTGTGAACGAGTTAAATAATAAAATTAATAATACTGTAAATCAACATTTGTTAAAAAGGCCTGCTAAAAAGACCCTATCTAGGAGTAGCAATTTTTTAGTGTAATTTTAACATAGGAGTAGATAGAAAAATTAATGCTAAGCAAAAAGTGTTCTATACATTTTTTTGGAATGTTATTACTTCTCCAGTTATTCGCGGCCGAAGGTATGAGTTTTTCATAGAAAAGATCAAATTTTTTTATTCGCGAAAAACTCGAAAAGTATGAATTTTATTTAAAAAACTGTTAAGATCAAAATCGTAGCCTTTAAAAAAACACGTGCAGAAAACGGTTTTTTAAAAATAATTGCTGTATGACCAATACGAACCGAGTTTCATCAAACGCTAAATTAGAGAGTTTCACAGTTAAATATCGGCAAAACTACGCATTTTTCGAGAAAAACGTATTTACAAAACATTTCTACTTTAAAAAAAAAACGCATAAAAATTAAGCGAGTTACGAGGAAAATAATTGGTAGATCCGTACTTTTTTCACCGAAAAAATTAGCGCAAGCAATCCCTAATTACCACCCTAATTAGAATTAGTTCTTCCCCTTTTTCAGTTTTCTCTAATTACGTATTATTAATACGTTCTAGAACTGCAACGAATTTCTACAATGTTGTGAAAAACGTCATTCTCTTGTGACTTCAAAACAACTATAAAACATTAAACAACTGGAGATACCTACGTAAAAGAAGGCTACAGCATCCAATTGTGGCTTTTTTAATTCTATACACATTTTTCTCGCTGGAAATTTTCTGCTGTACGACAAAAAAGTTTAAAAGATGTATTTATATGCGAGCACTACCTTGTTTTACCCCTTTAAGCTCATCCCATTTTAAAACTAAGAGTTTTAAAGGGATTTTATGTAAATAGCCTTGTAGCTCTTGTAAAAACGTACAAAATGGGTTTTTAATGCATATTTAATAAAAAAATGAAGTAGTTATGATTAAAAAACGAATTACAATTTTTTTCGAAAAATTCTGAAAGCACAAATCGGAGCATAATCATGATCTACATGATCGGTGATCGGTATATATTTCGTATACTACACATACAACTTACATGCACACTTACATCCATTCCATACACTTATACAGTATGAAATGTATATACAGGGCGATTCAAAAAGAATATCA